TTCTCAGACACCGTGGATGAGAAACTACATCGAGAAGAATACAGACCTCCGGAAGAAGGCAAAGGATGATTTCTCTAAGGACTTCTATAAACTGATGAACAATGCGGTGTTCGGGAAAACTATGGAGAACGTTCGGAGGAGAGTCAACATAAAATTGTTGAGAAGTCGAGAGGAGAAGAAAATCAAACAGCTTGTTGCCAAACCAACGTACAACCGCCATGTGATCTTCAACGATGACCTGGTCGGGGTACAAAGTAACAGGACAAAGGTCGTCCTCAACAAGCCCATATATGTTGGGATGTTGATTTTGGATCTCTCAAAGACACTCATGTATGACTTTTACTACAATCACCTGAAAGTGATGTATGGCTCTGATGTGAGACTCTTGTAAACCGATACAGACAGCTTGGTTCTTCATTTCTTTACTGATGATCTGTTTGATGACATGAGTGAGTTTCTTGAGAAGTATGATACAAGCAATTATGATCAATCACATCCGTTATATTCCGAGAAAAACAAGAAAGTTGTTGGCCTGTTCAAAGATAAACTCGGTGGGAAACTGATCACTGAGTTTGTAGGACTTCGTTCCAAGATGTACAGTTACTATGGTGAGGAAAGTGGAAAAAGAGCAAAGGAGGTGAAAAAAGCAGTGCTCAAGAAAACTATCACACATGATGATTTCCGAAATTGTCTCTTGGATCAATCCGTGTTCCATCGAGAAATGACAACACTCCGGAGTCATAGTCACGTTATTTTCGGAGAAACGGTTAATAAGATAGCCTTATCACCATTGGACACAAAACGATACATCACAGAAGATGGATGTAGCACGTTAGCGTTCGGACACCATGAAATACCAAGATATCTGGCTGAGGAGGGGTTTGATAGCAGCATTTCATTCATGAGTTATGCTCCGGATATGATGAAGCAGTTCGTCCAGTGATTATGAGAAAGAAAAAAAGGAAAAAAAGGAAAAAGAAAGAAAGACAGTTTTTTACTTTTTCTTACACATTCGATTTTCTATAACTCTCCCATATGGCATCAAGTCTTTGTTGTGACTTTTTACACTTTGGAATGAATGGTTTGATCTTGATCACATCATCTTCATCATCAATGAGTTTCGAAAGTAGGAATGGATAACTCACTTTGACTTTTGTTATAGTGCACGAGTGACTTCCCACGAGGGTCCTCGACGTCTGTCTCACCGTCCAGGAGCGACACTGACTCACGCTGCTATCTGGTGCTCACGAGGTGTTTGTCGCGCTGAAAACGGAGCGTCTCTGTAAGTTTGTATCCCTGGTGATGGTCGTGTCTGGAGAGCACTATATAAGTGGTGCTCTTCAGGCACAATCTTCCTCAGCCTACTCAAGCTCCACTGATGAGGGGTGAATTCCCCGAAACACTGTGTATTGAGCAGGGAGTGGTGCTTTCTTGCAGGTTTGCCGAGTCGAAGGTTCGATGGACTTCTCGTGTGCTCTGGATGGCAGTCGTGAGTCAGTCAAGTGTCAAGTAAAGTCGGCGGAATAGCGCGAGCTCCGGTGTGGGGAGCAAACCCTTTTCTTACAAATAATCTACGTGGAGATATCGCCCTATCTCATTGCTCTCTACTTTATCAAAAGTGTGCGAACGTGTTGTATATGACATCATTTATGATCAAGTTCGCATTTCACTTTCGCCAGCACAGTCGGGCTTTTGTCGGGGTGACTCCACCAGGTACCAGGTTACCCGCCTCGTGCAAGACATCCATACCGCCCGGAACGCCCATTACCATGTTGGTTTAGTTTTCTTCGATCTCGCGAAGGCCTTCGACACTGTTTGGCACAGGGGTCTCTTAGCTAAGCTGCAAACAGTATATCGCATTGATGGCAAGGCTATCGGCTGGCTCTCATCGTATCTCTCTAACCGACATCAGCTTCTTCGCCTCTCAACAGTTTTATCGGAGCCTTTACCCGTTACTTCTGGAGTCCCCCAGGGTTCAATCCTTGGGCCACTGCTATTTCTCCTGTATATTAACGACCTCCCCGATATTGCCCCTGGTGTCAGCCTTTTCGCTGACGACACAGCTCTGCTTTGCTCCAATGCTTGCCCTATACGACTGCACGAAGCCATGCAAGATAACATTGGGAAAGTTATAACCTGGATGCATGATTGGAAGTTGCAGCCAAACGTTGATAACACGGCAGCTATGTACATTTCCCCTTCTCCCCCTTTCCTGCCACTTTGTTTTCCTTCTTCAAGTGTTGCTATTCGTATTGTTGAAGAGCATAAGCATCTTGGCGTTTTTATTGATTCTAAATTGTCGTGGTCACCCCATGTGCAGTATGTCTGCAAGCGCACAAGCTCCATCCTTGGGGCTCTTCAAGCCCGCTGCAGACATCTTCCTCTTTCTTGCAAACGCTTGTTTTATCGTTGCTATATATTTCCCTTACTTGACTACTGTGATACTCCTTGGTCTGGCATAACTACTACTGTATTGAACAAGCTAGAAACCCATAACCGCATGCTCCTTAAAATCTTATTTAGCAAAGATCGTCGCTTTCCCTCCGCTAGTCTTTACGAAATTGCCAAGATCAGTCCCCTTTCCACTCGACATAAGTACCACCTCTGTGTTCTCATACATAAAATATTACTAAATAAAATACCCTTGCATATGCAGGCTTATAATTGGTTCTCCGAAACACGGAATACCCGGAACTCACTCAGTCTCCCACGCGCTGCCTCCACCCTATTCACTAGATCCCCGATCTTTGCTGGCTATGTGTTTTGGGCAACATTACCAACGCAGGCCAAGACCAGCACGTCGATGGATAATTTTGTTGCTAAAATCTCTGCTCAGTTATAGGTTTCATGTATATCCTGCTGGTTTGTCTCCTCCTTTGCCTTCTTTGCCTCTTATTTGTATTCTTTTATATGTTTTACTGCTGTGGTTGGCTTTCACCCTTGTCTCAGTTTTATTGGCCGTCATCATGATGTGCCATGAGATAATGATATAAATACAAATACATAGATAAAAGTTTAATAATAGCTATGAAAAGTATGAATGCCACTGATGATCGGAGCGTGAAAATCGATTTTGGAAACACACAAAACCAAACCTTGAACAAATTGTCATGTTGCGTGGTGATGTCTGCGGCATTCATACTTTTCATAGCTATTTTATTATTTATTCTTCTTTTACTAGGGAATTCCCAACAGGCATCGGCGCCTTTTTACAGGAAACCCTAGGTATAATTTGATGGATGAGCGAAATTCAGCTGGTGAACTAGACACGCGGCATCCGGGGGATGAGTAATGACAAGAGTAGGGGGGGGGGGGGGGGGGGGGTTATGTACTCTTGGTAATGAGTATGCGACATTTGGACAGTGCAATGTAATGCCCATGGTCTCGTTAACAGTAGTAAATGGTAGCAGGAGTACATGAAAACCAGAGTGTGCAGCATGCTAGCTCGGTTGGGCTGCTGTCACGGCGGAATTCCGTGATTACATCATTTTTAGTGATGTAGTGCATACAAGCAGCTTTCAAGCAGCAGGTCACTGCAGCTCAGTTGTACGCACTACGCCATTTTTCGCCTCAGATCTGCGCCAAATATGATGTAATCACAGAATTCCGCCTTGCACGCGTGACAGACACTCATAGAAGAAAAGGCCCCAAGCTGGCAGCACCTTTGCATGTCGGTAGGCAATCTTGTTAGGTAACGATTTCTTGTGGAGCTGTTGTGCTCAATCTTAGGCTGCGTTCTTATATTCTCTAGCTTCTAAAAGAAGAAGAAAAGAGAAGTCGAAGAAACTGGGATTACTCAAGAACGGGTCTCGAAGAATTCGGAGATATTTTGCACATGTCAAGCAAAATGAAGCGTCAAAGGGGCCGCGATCTTGAGTGATGAATGTATGTGCGTATGCGAAAAGGGAAATGCGTACACTCATGATGAACACGTGGCTTTCAGTCGTAGTTCGCATGCGCTAATCCCAAACCGCGGGAATCTCCAAGTTTCAACAACTTCTGAAGCTTGGAGAGCTTGGAGAGCTTTGGAGAGCCTCCTAAAAGTCGGAGAGGATATAAGAACAGCTCTCGAACTTTTCGGAGAGTCTCCAACTTTTCCGAGAGGGTTTAAGAACCCACCCTTACATTTCAATTGAGTGTTCTATGTACATGCATTTCCCGGGTTGTCTTTTTGCGTTGACTCTTTGCTTCATGGTTTCACGCGATTGTCCCCATCTGTGTTGTGAGTGAGTTGTAGCCTTGCCGGTAACCAGTACCCATTCATGGCTAGCCTACGTACCGGAAGTATTGCCAACTCCGGCCCACACGTACACATTCCACTATTTACGGCCCTGCTAGGATCTAGGAGGAGCTGGCAAAGTTCTGAAGCGCGCGGGCACATCATATTTGGCATGGGTCCTCTTGAAGACAACAGCTGTCGGATAACGCGAAAAAGCACCATTGAAGACTACGAAACCCATATTTCTATGTTACGACAAGGCCTTTACTTTCCAAGTGTCTCTTTCTGCCCTAGACTGTTCCGTGCATCTCAAAGAATATTTTATAGTCTTTGGTATAAAATAGTGGATGACAAGCGACCCCGTTTATGGAAACGTATCGGTACTGCGACCCGTAGTCGCCGCTGTACGCGTTTTGCTCGGTTAGTTGTACAGGCCGCAATGCGCATAACATCAAATTTAGCTGCTGACCGATATGTTTCTTCGAAGCTTTTACAGGCAAAGCCGTCTATTTTACGGACTCATGGGTTTAAGGTGCACAAATGCAGTGTTGCCAAAACAGCCCTTCCAATGCCGAAGTAACTTTATGGACATTGCGTATTTGGGCAAGAATGTACGTTTTAAGACACGCTGCGCTGGGAGCGTAAAGTTGACTGCGGCGCGCGGGGTTGTAGGCAGCAGGATATTGCATGCAGTTGGATGTTGGTCACAAATCACGAACAAGAAAATGGATTTGAGAAATTAGCTGTCTCAGTTGTAGGTAACACATGCAAATGAGTCCGGCGAGAATATTACGCCTGGAGTTCCAGCTGTCTAGCACCAAGCGGGTGATTCAAGCATGTGATCTGGAGGACTTTATGAGTTCTAGTGTGATGCATTGAGAGGGAGCCGGCACTGTGGTGGAAGTGGTGCGTTGTAGAGTGAGGGAAAGAGAGCGTGCCAACGACAAGTGTCTTCGTGACTATAGCCGCCGTCCAGCTTCTGCTATCAATGCCAGCGTCACGTTTGCCTCTGCGTGACTGACTGCTCCATGCGGACTTGCAGGTGAGCTGCATGTATCTGCATGTATGCTGTCTGTACATTTCCCGGGTGTGTCGATTTGTCTGATCACGCTCAGCTGGCCTGCCTGCCCGTGTGCCTGGCAGCCGGCCTGCTTCTCTCGGAAGCAATTACGACTACTTACACCCCCCCCCCCCCTCCCTTCGTCTCCGTAGTGTATCCATACTTGTAACCCCTCGGCATTGGAGCTAGCATTCTCCAACAATTACAACAAGACCCTTTCAAAAATAGAACCGTGAAGAAATTATCCCAGTACATTTGTACCTCATACCAAACACCAAACAAGGTTCATCATTTTGTTCAAGACGACAAGCCAGCATATTAGACTCAAGGCTGGTTTCTGCTCTTGGAAAATGATAATTTTTGTTCTTCCAACGTAACGTCTTAGTATAGCTGTTGCCTTAAACTATCGTAGTTGCCATCTGAATGGCGATGCACTCGGAAGGGTCACTAACACATGAAGTGCAGAGGAAATGCGAGATTAATTTTATATACGAGGTTATGCCAAAGATCGTTGTACAGTGGCCAGTAGCACTAGTCAGGGTTCACAGCAATCTGGTGTATTTATGTGTGTATTTATTTATGCATCATCTCCTGGCTCGCCATAAGACGGTCACTAGTGAGAATTTCTAGAAAAGAAAAAGTACCAAGGAACTACAAGTTAGGCCATAATGTCCACTAACACCACCAGTTACTAAACAATCAGCTCATGCCAAAACGTCCTATATTGTCGTGTAACTTGGAACCTTCCAAGTTGGAAGGGTGTGTTGCAGTGCAGATCCAAGATGTGCTAGAGCTCTTAGTCAGTTAGTTGGAGAACGTCAGTACCGTCGGTCAGTGCCGTGCAATGTTATGGGATGAGCTGATTGTTAAGTAACTGGTGGTGTTAGTGGACATTATAGCGTAACTTGTAGTTCCTTAGTCCTTTTTCTTTTCTAGAAATTTGTCCTTGGCTCCCCATCCAAGTCCAATAGCGAGAATGAGGAAATGTGGCAAAAACCATGGTTACGTGTACTGTATGAATACATTTAAAATGAGAGGGAATTGCGTGTACTATCAAATCCCTCATTGCGGATCGCATACATGTCCAGAGTGCCGGATGAAATTCGACCCAAAGAGCATATTCGATGCCTTCAACTTCCAGGGCTCTTGACGCCCTGGAAGTGCTAAGACCAGGGCTGGACATGCACAATTCACATGCAGTTATGTAATCGAATCTGGGCGTTACATTGGGTGGGATGTCTGTGCGTTCAATTGAACATGTACACATCCAAGCACACATGCACGAGTGCAGCGGCCTACTGCCGTGGACATGGAAATGCGGTCGAACATCTAGCGGCCCAAGGGTGCTAGCCACACAGCCTTGAATATGCATACAGTGCTTTGACTCAGTTATGCGCTGCAGCGTGCTGGTCGTATTGGATCAGTACGTACACTACAGGCAAAGTTCTGTTGGCACTGAGGGCGCCGGTCCCGGTCGTTCGACTGGATTTCCATGTCCAAACCAGTACTAGGTGGTTATACGGTATGATCGTGTAGTATGTGGGAGTCCACCCGCGCATCGCCCACTCTTCATGATCTATGGTTGATACCCTGCTGAGATCATGATCACGCGGTTACTGTGTACCCGATACAATGCGAACAGCAGAGCACGCACATAGATACACAACTAGACGCTCAACACATTGCACGCAAATGCACTCGACCACGTTCTTTCATGCTCTTAAGGAATGGGATACTGTATAAGCAGAAAATTTCGTCGGTCAATAATTTCGTCCAACTCCAAAGAAGGGGAGTTCGTCCGGTTGTAAATTTCGTCCAAGGATCATAAGAGTGTATTGAAAAGCTGGACAAATCGATAATAGTCCGGCATTTAATTTAGTCCAACGGCTCGTTGGACGAAAACGACGAAATTAAACTCCAGACGAATATTTGTGCTTGTACAGTACTCTATGCTCTCAACTTGGTTCTCATAGAATCACAAAACCTCATTTTCATTATTTTCTTTATTGAAAAACCACAAACCTTCAGACATGTGTATGTGCACATGATATACAGTGTACATACGTATGCATAGAGAAGGCAGCACAGAAACCTCTTGTCGGTCACTTGACTTGCAAACGCCTACCACACGTCCATACATGCACGCACGCACACACACATACACACACACACACACACATGCACGCGTGCACACCTCAGACCTCAGACCTCAGACATGCCCATCGCGGAAGCGATGATAGCGAACAGCTATGTTAGACATAGCAACTTTTGCTGGGATTACACCATTCAACAGCTTGCAAGGCTGATGAATTGACCGCCACTATTTTTAGCCTGATATCCACCACACAGCTGTTTGAAGTGACCTTTTCTGGCCAGTGAATCCCTATTTTTCATTTGCGTGCACACACACACATAGACACACACACACACACACACACACACACATACCGTTAAGTCCGCTGCAAACGCACACCCCATTTTTGCAAAATCAGCCGGCCTGTACGCACTGACCCCATGCACTGTCACCCCTACCGTACGAAAGTGCACCTCACACCGTAGTGCGAAGACCACATTCCTACAGTAAACTATGTCCACTTTCCTGGTTTCAAAATCTCGTTGGGCACTAGCTACCAGCTAGCTACTAGAGATTTTATCATGTTGTTTTTTCTCAAATTCAAACGGGAGTTTCTTCCGAATAACTAAGTAGCGAAGAACAGAGTGTTGCAGGAACCATCTACACCTCTCGCTGTGTTTCAAGCCATCATTTCCAAACCATGCAACCCGCAAAGGCAAGGGTTTTTCTCGACCACTTCAGAGTTTTCAACAAGTTACAATTAATTAGCAGGGACTTTGTAGGTGTAGCTTCTGTGATACCCCCCCCCCCCCCCCCCCCCTGCAAAGTGTTCAACTTACAACTGCAATACTGCGAACGGTCAAGTCGTTGAATGACGCTTCGTCCAAACAATCACCGTTCCGTTCTAAAAGCCCGACATGATGGCACAGCAGAAATTTCATGATTTGAAAACAAGATGGATTCCACAGCATGACCACATGGAGAGCCGAACAAATAACGAAGACGACTACTTTATCGAATGAAAGGAAATCTCGACCGAAGTTTTCTTTACAGCAAGATAAGAACATTCGCTTTTGCTGAGCCTCCTGGTAAGACATAGGCAGTTTGTAGGCATAAAGCCCGATTCACAATACAACTTTCTGCGACGTGACACACGATTTGCGACAGTTGCGACAAGAAACTGCCTGTCGCGAGCTGTCGCAAGCTGTCGCAATGCACCTGTCGCAGAAGTTGAAGAAAGTTCAACTTTTGCGACATGCGACACGCGACATACACAAATGGAGTACGGTTTCGACCCTGGGTGCACGTGCAGTGCACGTGCATAGTACTACTTGTGCATGATCTGAGGCCGAGGATGTCGCAAACATGAAGAATATTGTGAAGCGTGTGTCGCTGTCGCAGCTCATCGCATGTGTCGCAAGTCGCTTGTCGGGTCGCAGAAAGTTGTATTGTGAATCGGCCTTTACAGTCGTTCTCGTACTCATTCGACCATCATGCGCATATGCCAGCTTTCTACAACTATATTGACCTGAAAAAGACGAAAATAGTATGGACCCGCTGGGTTGGGCGTTTGCTGGGAAGTGAGCGTTTGCAGTGGACTTTACGGTACACACACAAATACACACGCACTCAATATGATACGAAAGACTCTGAAAAAATACAGATGTACCCCATTTTTTTTGCACCGCAGTATAAAGGCCGATACACAATACAACTTTCTGCGACGCGACATGCTACTTGCGACACATGCGACGAGCTGCGACAGGGACACACGGTTCACAATATCCTTCATGTTTGCGACATCCTCATACACAAGTAGTACTATGCACGTGCACTGCACGTGCACCCAGGGTCGAAACCGTACTCCATTTGTGTATGTCGCGTGTCGCATGTCGCAAAAGTTGAACTTTCTTCAACTTCTGCGACAGGTGCATTGCGACAGCTTGCGACAGCTTGCGACAGCTCGCGACAGGCAGTTTCTTGTCGCAACTGTCGCAAATCGCGTGTCGCGTCGCAGAAAGTTGTATTGTGAATCGGGCTTAAGCCAAATCCACTTTTAGTTTCCTAAGTGTGTGCAGACTCCACTGTAGCCACCTTATCTTTCACACCGTTATACACCACTACTCAAAAACGGCCTCTTGGCTACAAATTTTTCCAAAAATAATAAATTCTATAATAGTTAATAATAATAATCGACGTGGAGACAACAATTTTATAATAGCAATAAAGAGAACAAACTCTGCAGTCATCGCCACACTACAACGAAGTCATGAAAGTTTACCAGAATTAATTTTCTTGTCACATTCATCAGTGGAAAGTCGTCACTGAAGAGTAACCATGCTGAACAATGATTAAATAAACATTCAATGATGTGTTACGAGAACAAAATACAGTGCCAAAGTAGAATGAGGGAAGGTGAGACAATAGAAGTGAAGTGAGAGCTACATGTAAGTGCAACGGCGGGTGAGAAACTAATAATTATAACGCTAAAACGGTGTAGTGAGACAAACATTCATGCTGTGCACCTACGATCTTTGTAAGCAAAAGAAACATGTAGTTGCGTTAAAATTGTTTTCGTAGGTGCACAGCTTGAATGTTTGTCTCACTACACCGTTTTAGCGTTATAATTATTAGTTTCTCACCCGCCATTGCACTTACATGTAGCTCTCACTTCACTTCTATTGTCTCACCTTCCCTCATTCTACTTTGGCACTGTATTTTGTTCTCGTAACACATCATCGAATGTATATTATAATCATTGTTCAGCATGGTTACTCTTCAGTCATGACTTTCCACTGATGAATGTGACAAGAAAATTCATTCTGGTAAACTTTCATGACTTCGTGTTAGTGTGGCGATGACTGCAGAGTTTGTTCTCTTTCTATAATAGTTCAATTTTGTTTCAGTGTCCTTTAGTACAACGACGATTCCTGATGAGTGTTGCACGAAAACTTGTTTGAACTTGTTCGAACCCTTATTTTTTCTCTACACTATTTCTTCATATTTTCTTCGTTTTATTGCACGTTGACCCGCCGTTTTACATTGCATGAATAAAGTGTACACAAGTGTCGATTCAGCTTGTCCTATTGATTGTGGTCATCAAAATTTATGGTTTCCTCGCCGTTTGTTCAAAAGTAAACAAAATCCCAATTTTCGGGCTGCCCATCTTCAAGAATTTATTCCTGAAGATGGGCCGAAAATTCGGACTTTATTATTTTTGGAAGAATTTGTAGCCAAGAGACCATGTTTGAGTAATGGTGTATAAAGCGGGATTCACAGAAGCTTTTTTTGCGATGCGACGCGCGATGCAACGTGATCTGTGACGGACGTGTGCGATACGAACTCGCAAAATACCATTCATAGAAGAAGTCAGCGATGCGACAATGCCTTGCTGATTTGGCGCGGAGTTCAATGCAGGTGGGTACGTCACCATAATATTCGCGCGGTTTGGTACAACTTGTACAAATTTAAAGGCCACTCTTGAACCTTTGTACAACTTTGCTGTAGAAAAGGTCCAAATAGTACGCCAAATCGCTTGTCGCATCGCAAAAGTGGAGCCAAGCTCAACTTCTGCGATGGCCCAGTTGCGGCAGTTGAGTTGGGTGCAAGACGGCTGCGGTTAGCGCAATGCCCGGTTTTGCGGCTGTCGCATCGCGTGTCGCATCGCAAAAAAAGCTTCTGTGAATCTCGCTTAACTGTGTGAAACCATTTTTTGTTTGTTTTAAATCCAACATTCTACTCTCTATACCACTATTGAAGGCACGATCCTGGTGTAAGCCTCGTTTCGTTACTTTTAAAGGTACACAGTGATATAAACATGTCATATCTATGACCTTTCCCCGTCAAAATGTATGTGACTCTTGAGTTGTGGATATTTGAAAGTCACGGGCCGTGTCCCGTTCCGAATAGCCTCGATGAACAACACATGAGAGGAAAATTTACTGACTTTTGTAAGATGAAAGTACTAGGTTGGGGGAATATCCGTGCCCGGGCTAATCTAAACCTCAGCCACTGTTTCTGTTGCAGCTCTTAGGGTAAACCTTTCTAATTGTCCGCAAACTCCCGAAAACTTGACGTAATGTAAATATAAATTTGAATTTGATTCGCAGTGAAGAGACCGTTTTTGTAAATTGGAGCGAAAAGAGAAATTTCCTCCAAGCTCTTAGGTTGGTATTTCTAATTCTGTTCTTGTGTTGTCTGTTCCTGTCTTTTCCTTATTTTTCCCTGGCTGCATGGTGTTCTGCTACACTGCAACCTGGCTGGTGAAAATCTGATTGTTTGCTCGCCTCCGATGAACACGATCCAAGAAATGCTCCACCTGATCTTGTCGACTGTGTTGATTTCAACAATCATAACAGGCACGGCTGCACCTGCGAAATCAGGTAAGGATGAAAATGATCTCTCAAGGGTAACTTGGAAGCTGGTCACCCGACAAAAAAACGTATCATGTTCATTGAGGTATGAAAAGCATCAAAGTTGCAGACATGGAGGCAGATATGCCTGTTTGTTGTACGACTTTAAATAAATCCAACCAACCAACCAACCAACATGACTATGCAATAAGCCCACTGCGCAATGACTTATTTTGAACAGTAAGCACCCCACACAGCCACCTGGTCCTGGTCGTCTGGGGTGTTGAACAGTGTGCTGCTGATCCCATTACTCATACCTTCCATATTGGGTAATGCACCATGGGCTTATGTTATAAGGTCTTTGAATTGAGTACAGTGTATTCACTGCACAGAAGTGGGGATTCATGAAATCCAAACTGTAGATGACAGTAATAATAATAAAAATAATAATAATTCAAAGGAACAGTAGGGGAAGTGAACTGCCGGAAAAGAGAAAAAATCGCCAAACCCACCAGAACTCGAACCCGGGACCTTGCTTGTCATGAGCAATGCTCTAACCACTGAGCTATGGGACCGGGCTGAACCTAGAAGACGCTGACAAGGTTTTCACTCCAAAGGCAGCTCACAACACGTGCCACACATACTGATGGCACTTGGGTCTTTCTCCCTCCCCCAGGGGACCAACCACGGTCAGTTTCTGGACCCTACCAGAAGTGAAAGAGAGTGATAAATTTTTGAAAGGATTGGGAGAACTTCAAACTTGTCAGCGCCTACTAGGTTCAGCCCGGTCCCATAGCTCAGTGGTCAGAGCATTGCTCATGACAAGCAAGGTCCCGGGCTCGAGTCCTGGTGGGTCTGGCGATTTTTCTCTCTTTTCCGGCAGTTCACTTCCCCTACTGTTCCTTTGAATTTGAAGTTCTCCCAATCCTTTCAAAAATGTATTGGGTGGTGTGCTGCTTTGCTGCCTCGAATTGTAGTTAGACCGCTTTGTCAAATCGCCTACTGGTCTCGTCATCGTCAAGTGACAATCGACATTCTTTGTTCCGTTGGGACTGTAGCTTGTGCTCGTTTTCGTTGCGCTTGTCTTCCACTCTTTGGTCTTTCCATAATCTTGAACCTTCCAAGTTGGAAGGCTGTCGGTTAGCGCTACGGGAATGTGTTGAAGCTAGGTGTCAGGACGTCGAATGTCTCAGTACTCTGTCAGTTTTGTGCCTAGTTGTTGCACTTTCTGACTGTATATAGTATCTAGTTACAGTGGTGGAGAGTTACTCTTAACTGGTTTCAATATGTCCTTTTTCTTTCTACTACTAATAATAATAACTTTGTTAGGATGACCCAAAGGCTGACCGCCTATCGCTACTTTTCCCACATTAGGCAGATTGAGAATATTATGTTGCTGGAATTATGGCAGGTGCGGGACAGAGTTATTTGTAATAGGGAATCTCTGCAATACTACTTGTTTTGGAAATCCTGCTGCCTTGCAGATTGTGGTAATCATTTGAATAGAAAAGAGTATGGGGCTTTAGGAAATATAGTGCCCATCTCGGAATTTTAACCTAGGAATCTGTATCAACACAAGCCCTACAAATAAATACTCTTTTACTGCGAAAAATATACCTTTTATCAAAATGCAACTCCTACAGTAGGGCAGATGTGCTAAAAATCATAAAATCTCGAGTTCATTCACCACCCGCAGAGTGCCCAATTTCCCGATGGTAAAGGCCGTGATACACGGACAGAGAGACAATCACTTTATTAATGCGATTAATAGTATAAGGGGCCGTCCGGGGTTACCGATTGTTTTTACAAAACGAAAAGTTTTAGTATTTTTCAGCCCCCAACCACCCACCCACCTTTTCTGCAGGTAAAACGAATTCCAATAAAATATTGATGTCAATTTTCGACACCCAGAAGTAACTGGGCATTCTCCATCAGCATTCAATAATTGTTTTCAAAACGAAACTCCATCAAACCCACCCACCCACAAACGAAAACATTTCGTTTTGAAAATATTATTCGTAGCCTTGGACGGCCCAGTGAAGCGGACATTAAAAATGATGAATGAGAATACATGTATCTAAAATGGTTGTTCCTAATCGATTTTCTTGAGACTATCATCAGGGAAAATCGTCTCACAATAAAGGCTATACGGAGAAACAAACTACTTATAGGTGATCGGAGAGACAATCAGTTGCGGTTTTCATCAGTTGAATCAATTGTCTGACGAAAAGGTGACAATTATATTGCACACATCCCGACATTTGGTGGTTTTGCTTCTTTGTGGATACTAGTAAAGCTAGAATAAGGGGCCATTGCACAAGTTTTTCAACTTTTTTGTCCAGCATAGCAAGCTATGTTCGTTTCAGAGGGAGGGGAGGGGGTCCTAATCCGAAATGAACGATGTTCGTATCAGGGAAGAAAAAAACCCTCTGCGACTACCAATAACAGGTTCATCTCGAGAGCTGCAGTGCAAAAAGGGATAAACCAATTTTCATCTCTTTTCGGCTAATGGCCAAAAGAGGATTCTTTTGATGTGCGGTTTGTAACAATATCCATATTTGGGTTCCATTATTGAAATGGCTGTTTCCTATTTTGAATGTGAAACTTCTGGTGTCCCCAGACCTTTGGCTGACATAGAGCTGAAAATCAGATATTCTCTTATTTGGCGCTTTGAGGCCATTCGCAAATATAGATACTATTAACTTTTATTTAGAAACAAAAAACTAGTGGTTTATGGGAGGGGGGCGGATAGCCCCTCTCTGTGTGTGGAAAATAAATATCGATGAATAATTTGTATGTTTGGGCATGTCCAGAGAAAAAAATAAAATATAACGATACTATGTACCGTTGGTATGTATTCGTTTCTCAGGGAGGGGAAGGGAGGGTTGAAGAGAAATGACTAGTTTGTGTTTCAGAATAAATATCAGTATTTGTGGATGGCCTCTTTAACAAGGAGGTTTGTATTTTCACTATTCGTCTTTTCTTTGTCATTGCTCCATGCTCATTGCAGCTGTGACATGCCAAGTGCCACACATCGCTAATGGCACTCGCCTCAGCAATGTCCTCCGCTGGAACGAAACGGTCAGGTTCTCGTGTCACGCTGGTTTCCACGAGGGCGGTCTCTCGGCTAGATGTGATGCTGACGGTAATCTGACGCAGACGCCGACATGCAATGGTATGTATTAACAAGCTTTAAATGTTACCCCCCCCCCCCCCCCCGACAACCACCACCATTCGCTATCATATTATTCGGCTATACTCTAATTTCAGAAATTTTTGGTGCTCAATATTTTCGGTATGAGGGCAACAGGCTAGGTTAGGTGAACAGAAATTTTCGGTACAGAGAAGCAGTTCCCTATTGGATTATGTGTGTTAGTGTTTGTTCGGTGTATTGAAATTTTAGGTGTGAAATAGACGCACTGAAAGTACCGAAAATAAAAGTACACTGAACATTTGTGAAATTACAGTAATCACGTTTGACTTTGCAAAATGCTGTAATACTGTAATACTAGGTGTTTTAAAGTCCATTAAAGTTAACGATCTCTGGATTTCTGTGGGTTAGCGATGAGAAATTCTAATGAATTCTGGCTCAAAAATGGCACATGACTGTACAAGTACATATCGTTTTGCACATAACGACTTCACATGTTAACGATTCTTTCAAATTCGTTAACTCGTTGGGATATGAATGTTCGTTTACATTTTGAGAGATGTGCACAACGAAACTTCGCAAGATTTCGATCGCCCGGGTTCGAGTAACGAAAGTTGTCCCAAAGATCCGTCCAAACGCGACCCAAGCAGAGCAGATCTACGAAAATATGTTTCGTAACGTTCAATACTAAAATACTGATATTTTGCAACTCCCTGTATTGACCCTCCGTACCCGCGTGCGGACACGCACCGCTTCGAGCTACTACAAAAAGGTTTACATGCTGTGCGCCACCTCACGAGTTACGAATATGATCCCGCAATTTGCTTTGTTTTGCACGCGTGAATTTCCTTGCGCAGAACAGAACAAGAGTTTTTTTTCGATTTCGCGGGCGCGCGCGCACGCCAGCACACAGGCAGGTAAAAAGGAGAAAAAATGTGAAGCACAACCGCCGGACCGCGAATGGCGAGTATCAGTGGAGCCGCGCTCCTCCGCTGCATGCAGCCAAGTGCCGCGGAGTAGCGGTGAAACCAGGCCCTTAGCAACATGACTATCAGCGCATGACTATCAGCACATGACTATCAGCGCTGCAAAGTACCGCACCAGCAACTCAGCGACCTAAAGTAGACGCATAATTTTGTAGTTCGGATAAGTTCAGCACAACAGATTGCAGCGCGATAACGTGCAGTGCTACGAAGTACAAAACGATCAAGCCGGTGGCGAAGTCACCACTTGTACGGTCATAGCCACTGCACCCGCCATGCGCGGTACCGCGGTCGTGCTCCACATTTTTTTGATGACGTTTTACCTGTCGGTGCGGGGGCATGCGCACGATGAAAAAAATGCTCGTGTTCTGGCCTGCGCAATGAGTTAATATTTGAATTTTAAAATTCTCGCGTATACACGCCAAGTTGTTGGGAGACGATTTTTCCAGGACACACGAAGACCTGAGGTTGAAAACACGATAAGCCTTATGCACGTTGTACAGATGTACGAAGCTTTCTGCACTAGGACCATAGGTCTGCACAGACCCGGCTTGGTGTTTATGTTGCGATATGCATGCACATTTGACCAAACTTAGCCTCATAATCAACGGCAGACAACCTCTTTTCCAATTTCTTCACTTTGGTTAGAACTAATGTTTAGCTGTAGGTAGATCTTTGTCAGAAAAAGTGTTCGTATGAAATGCCTTTAACCCTTTGTCCTTTTGCCCAAAATGTATGCGAGGGGTACCTACTTCAACAAATCCACTCACCATACCCAAGCAGCTGATATTTTGTATGTACACTTTATGTTTTCCTGAAAGCTTATGATAATTGTGAACTAAAAATGCCGTTTGGGTTGCATTCCTCAGGTGGGCGTGGCTAATCAAGAGTATCAAAAATGATTTTTTGGCAAAAATCGGCAAAATTCAAAGTTCAAGTTCTTTCCTATGTATAAATAATGTGCAATTTGTACAAGTGTGACCTGGAGTAGCACCACTGGCATGTTGGACAAACACAGAGCATTAGCCAGAGGAGCGACAGTGGCGACAGGCTCGACGTTTCGGCCCCGTGTGGCGACTCTCCTCGCTCTGCGCGGCTGTCGACCATGAGTTTGACGGCGCGCAGGTGACGGAGATCTGGACCTCTCTGGGATTGAACTGCGCTCCCGCTCCACGTGCTGCGGCACTCTAGCTGGCCCTGCTGCTCCACAACGGGTAAGACACGGCGGTGGTACACTCTCCTCACCACTCGAGTGCTGTTCTGCCGATCCTGCACTCAAATCGGAGTGGTCGACATGTCCGACAGTTGGGTCGACGGGCCGACGGCTACAACATCATAGTCCGCGTCGTTACCAAAATCAGAATCAACCCCTTCAACTAAGGCTTCGTCCAGTTCGTCCTCGTCATCAGAGGACATAGGATTGTCGCTCGGGTCACTCCAGCTATCCTCAAACAAGCGCTTCATCTGCATCAAGCGACCTGCGTGCTGCCATGTCGGAAATTACGGCGCAAGCAAACTTCGACTTTGATTTCCTGAAATTTTTCAAATGGCAACTAGCCCCAGCGACCCGTGCATCATCCTCTACATAGCATAGGCTGTGTGCACGTGAATTTTCATGTGGATCGGGTGATCCGCATAGCTTCCAGGTCGCTTTGAACATGCGTGGGTTGAACCGTACACAGGTGTACGGTTCAAGTATGGGCGAAAGGACAAAGGGTTAAGGCCCATTTATTACAGTCGACCTACCCTTATAAGGATATTTGCGTCAGACCAAGAAATATTGTTGTAAGGGTAATATTGTTATAAGGGTAACTGGTTCATTTCATATATGTACATGTACGTCATAATGCATGGATTTTGTTCATTTTTTACACTCTTCATAGCATAGAGAACTGACGTACATGCGTATAACAAACACAGCAACACGATTGGAGACACAGCAAGGTGCCCATTGGTGCCCCCATTGTATTTCAACATGTCCCAGCGACTTATCAAGTGAAGCTTGCCCTACCTGGATAGTGGGCTCTATACATTCCCTGCTAGATATTGTTATAGAATGGAAAATGTCGATCGGTCAGCCCATTTTATATCGTTCTAGGGGTAATATCGTTATAGCAATATTGTTATAGAGGTAAGCCATTGTATACACAAGGCAATGGAGTGATTTTGGTTTGGCAGAAAAATATCGTTATAAGGGTAATATCGTTATAGAGGTTATCGTTATTAGCGCAGGTCGACTGTAGTTGGATACATTGTTTACTAGTACCTGTCTGGTATATCAATAAATTGGCGTTGGGATACATGGCGCTGAGGTATGTGGTGCTGAGATCCAAGGCACTGAAAAAGGTCGCGCCGATGTTTTTGGCCTGAAAACCATGGCGTTGCAATATTTCACACTGAATAATACACTGCTTACTTTTAAGGTGCCGAGATGGTCGTGAACAACTAGTTGGCGCTGAATTTCAGGGCGCCGAAATGGCATGGAATCAAAGAAAGTAAAAAAAATAACTTATAGTAGGGTGAAACCCCCAAAAAGGTGATACTAATTGGATCTTCCTTATTCAGCCATTGGAACTGTTTTTCCAATGTGGAACTCATGTATTCTGCATTGTTTATATACTGTTTGAGATTGTAGTTGATGGTGCCACAACCAGCTCGCTTGAACGTGAAACCCCAGATCAGTGGATATATATAAGAACTGTAAAGTCGGCCGTATTCCTGTAGAATCCAATGCAAGGGCTAGGCTTCTACTCACACCGGACTTCTATTCAAACCATACATTTCTATGTGTGTCAACAATTGAACCCGTCTTATCTGCCGACAGGGTATCTTGAAAATCAGGCTTGTGTTCAACACGGGCGTCTATTCGAGATAGGCTTTAATACAAGACATTGCGGTAACAGCTTGCTGTCTATAGCATAGAGTACATGTTATAAAAAAATGTGTCATGTGCGTGTATATGTTTATGTACTGTTTTGATGACAGCCAATCCAAGAACACTTCCCATGGTGGTCGCCAACAACGCTAGCCTAACCGGCAGCCACACGGATCCGGAAACTACCCCACTGACCACCACTCACAGCAGCACCACCATTGCCCCGAGTGTCACGCCAGCCCTGACTTCACCTCCTGAACAAACATCAAACAACCGCAGCACCGTTGATGATGATGCATCCGTAGACTCACTGCCAGCAGTAAATAGCACCGAGACAGATATGCACAAACTTGACAACAACACTAATAACGATATCTGGATAGAACCATCCGGGAACGGATCAGTTGCTGCCACAAATACTTCACTTTTAGGCACAGACAATAACACTGAGAGTACCGGCTCTGGTTTCAACACAATAAATTGGATGTGGACATCCACAGCCGCCTCGATCAATATGTACACAAATGAACCGGACATGGGATTAGCCGACGCAGGTGTTGGTACGTGAGGCTGTCATGGTGATGTTCTCTGAAGTTGACTGTTGATGTATATATGCACAATAAATCCTAGACGCATCTCCACGTTATCGACGTTTTTCTTAACCAGCAGCAGAATGCTGGTGCTCTGGTCATAGCAAGAGAGCATTGGAGAGGACCAGGTGTGTTTAACATTTTTTCCGCCAGCAGTTCCCGCTGTGCACTCACAGATTTTCTCTTATAGCAATGATAGCGAACAAGATCTGCATGAGACAGATCAAGACAAGGCGCCAGATAACTGTCTAATCCACACAACTGGCGAAACCATGTGAATCGACCACCAATGCACACCTGGTCTACACCACACGGAGTACATCGGCTTAAAATGGCACAGGGAGTTAGTTACCTATGCACACCCTACACTTGCTGGGGTAACCAGTATAGACAGCACGCTGCTTTGATAGAAGCAGACACTAGATGCACTGGTACCTTGAAGTGAAATTGGAGTTACTTTACCAGCCAGCCTCGGCTACTGCGTACTGGGAGCCCAGAGGCAACAGACACACCAACAACCTCAGCCATGAAAGCCATGATAGTAACGACACACTGGATTGTGGAGCCGAAACTAGTCCAACTTCCAAATGCTTTGGCAAGAAGGTTGCCTTCCGACAGTATGCCACACACAAGCATATGCACACACACAGACGCACGCACGCACGCATGCACGCCCTCACGCACGCACGCACGCATGCACGCACAGACACACACACACACACACACACACACACACACACACACACACACACACATACAAACACACAATGACAGAAGTCCAAACCAAGCTATCTCACAGGATTTTTCTTGTTGTCAGCCTCCAGGCATAATTTGCAGCTTTTCACGCATCACGGGTGCAGGGGCTTCGTTGCTACTTTAATACTATTGTGTTTTTAGCGATGCTGGTTCTATTGAAACGAAGAGGGTCATGGAAATTGATGGAATACATCCGCCTCGCTTCCGAGAAGTCTGCAAAGCAAAATCACTAGCTGAGTATGTTACAGAGTCTCCCACTCTCCAATCATTTCATATCACTATCTCCACGTTTGAATGCTTTTCGACGCTGCTCACAAATTGCCACGGTTTGACATTCGGATTTGTAAGCCGGAGTGTTGACTGGCGATAATCGGTATGGGGCAGATACGCACATGCTGTGTGTTTTCCTGTTCTGCTTTGCTGCTGCAGGTCCGGCGGGTGACAACGGCCAGGGAGATTACTGGTGGCTGGTGGCCGGTGTCCTAGCGTGTCTTGTACTCGCTGTCGGCCTCTTCCTGTTCCTGGTGCCGCGCCGCAGACCGGAGGGCCAGATCAGTCCCTGCGAGTCGACCTGCAGCAAACCGAGCATGTCGTACTCGTCCAGCAACAGCAGTATCCGAATCAGGTAAGCCATTCTACAACTACTCTACATACATTAACACAGGCGGAGCATTCCGGCATGCATGTGCCATGTTTCCCAGAATTAAAAGTGCACATTGGGAATGGGTTTGCTCCCACACTGGACCTCGCGCTATTCCGCCGACGACTTGACACTTGACTGACTCACGACTTATTTACACTAGAATTCAAGGGTAAAAAGGCACAATCGAGAGTGACTTACTACTGAAGTCAATACATCAAATCAATATTGCTCAAGCCTGAAAATAGGGGTGCGACTTATAACCGAGTGAAACTTATAATTTGGGAAATACGCTACAGTCAGCATCGCCTATAGCATTGGGATTTGGTATTGAGCATTTCAGCACTATAAGCGATATGAGTATTATTTTGACTGATACTGCATGCATTGTGTGCGAGTGGGGTGTCAAACGACTCAGGGCGCAGTGCACATGCGCACTGCATAGCTGGGTACAGCTCCTGACACACAACATCAGCAATTCCTCACTATGGAGGCATACTTGACAACTTGTACAAGCAGAACTCACCAAACAGCACTGGACAAGTTCTTCACGAAGACGTAACACCCTGTTCTCCTCTGCCACCACTTGACTTTACAGGAATCACTATAACCGATGCAAAAATAATGAATGAAACACACACACACACCCACAATACAATCATTGAATGCCCATCCGCAGATGATGGCAGGTCCTGAAAGAACAGGCAGTGTTCCAGTAATGGGGAACAGAACTTCGAGTGGCGAGTGAGGTATACACACACACACACACACACACACACACGTGCGTGCACGGGCACACACTAAAGTATTCAGAAATAGAATCGACATTGTAGTATTCATTGGTTGGGGAATGGAAAGGAAAATAAAACATTGCTGTAGGTTATTGTTGTAAGGACACTGGGAGGACAACAGAAAGGTAAGCAACTTGCTTTGAATCAAAGAAAGTTATTACTCCACGGATCTCAGAAGGAAGGAACGTTCCAGAATGCTGCACTGGCAACAGGCGGCCTGCATGTGCGCGGCCCCTGCAGTCGGTCCAGCTGCCGGCCGGGCTTGCAGTGCTGAAAAGAATGTGCAGTACAGCATGTCACATAGTATCGCAGCCTGGACAAATAGGCGCTGGGAAGTCCTAGTTATGTGCTCACCTACACCACGATGGATGCACCAATCTTCTGAGCTACTTTGGCAACAACTTTGTCCACTTGAGACTCCCATGGGCTGAGCCAGTTGTTGAGGGCTGCACCAAGGTGGACGGCAATGACCGCTGATGGCAAGGCAATCCATGACACACAGTCACTAAGGCATCGTCAACATGGCGCTGAGGCTGGATCGATAAAATCAACCTTTAGGCTGCCGCGGGGTTGACAACGAGGCCGCTGTCTCGAAGCTAGTCAGTCAGCCTGGTCACCGCCATTGACGAACCAGTCGCCACCGCCAGCAGTGGCGGTAGGTTGTGACAAGTGTGGTGCAATATTGTCAGCAAATTCAGTACTCAGGATAAGATGAGTGACAAAGGGAACGTTGTGTTTGATAATGTTGAAGTGAACAGGGATGATCGCAAACCCTGCGCGTACTCCACCGTGAGTTACAAGAAAATTCCGGACTGGACGACGAGCAAACGCCAACCTGCTACATCCAACCTGGCAGATACTATTACGATAGCTGCCAAACCAGGTCAATGCCGACCTACTGCATAATGTCAATGTCAAACAGATCCTGCAGGAGAAGACTGGGGTGTTGGCGTCCAGTCACTGAGTGTACAGACACCAGTCACATTTCCTGTGTCTTTTGCAGCATACAGGCTGAGACTCATCACTGAAGAGTCCACTACTGCATGAGTTTTATTTGTACAATACATGGCAGGCGTACACGGTGTGCCTTGCAGGACTGCGAGATGCTGCAGAAGACCAGGTTCGACCTTTCTGGACCGCCATTCACCGACGGTGGGCTACACGATGCTGGAGGAACTAGATTCCAGTGAAAACCCAAGATTCCTTTGCTCCTGGACGCTCCGACGTGTTGTGATATCTGCCAGGTGCGCAGTAACTAGTATTTTCATCGCTACAGCGAGGACGACGCCGATCGGCAAACTCTCGCTCACAGCCATCACCAGCCTCTCAAAACCATCACTTGGCATCCCCCAGAGGTATAGGAGAAAGCCAAAACAGCTCTCAACAAACAAAAGCTAAGGACGATGGAAAGAGAGCATGTCAAAAAGAAGACGAACAGTATGAAGTTCAAATGGTTTTGAACACTCGCACCACCAACTATACCACTTTCAATAAATCGTGACGCCATTTTGTTTTAACATGAATATCGCGGGTTGAGCCAAAGTCAATTTTTTTTTCAAAAATGCACTGTCGATCACCTGCATGGTCATGATCGATCTCGTACCAGTGCTTGGCCGCGTTCCTGCATATGCGCATGCAGCTAGCTAGCAGTGCTGGGCGCGTACGACACTTGTCATGTAGATCTACATCGTGTACATGGTTGTGCTGGCGGGCGAGTCTGCTCGTGCTGCAGCTAGGTCGGGTCTACACTGCCAGTCATGTGTTGCAGGGTCGCGGCACTCGTGTAGTCGTAGTACAGTGCAGTGCATGCAGTGCAGTGCCAGATTTGCATCCTACCTGACCAATGCTGACTGGCCGTTGGGCTTCTGAGCTGAGATGAGTGTAGATCTACATTGTACTATGAAACTGTTGCAGTTAGAAAACGGTGCCTGTGGCTCAGACACGGACATAGGTCCATAGCTCGTGCTGCGCTGCGCCAGCTTCGCATCATGCATGCCGTTTGGCGAAATGCAAGACGTGTACGCGCAAGCTGCGTACGGACGGGTCCGTAGTTTTGTTACATCCATGGCGGATATCCATTGATCTGGAAGAAGATTCGTTTTCTATCCAGTTTTCTAGCAATGCTCGACGAAATCATGTTGCTACCTGCGTAGTCGTTCTAGCTTGGCAATATTGTCATGTTCCTGTCAGTGAACCGCGTTAGCAGTCAAGGAGTTTCGCTTTGTGGCAGGGTGCTTGTCGAACCTGTGAAAGAAACGTGCACTTTCACAGGACTTTTTGATATATTCGTTGCTCGCCATGTCGGTGATACCGCCTGAAGCCAGGTCGTGGAGCGATGTTCATTCTTCAATTTGCAGAAGGGACAATCAACTAGCCAGCTAGTCCAGTGTCTATCAGAGACTCCAGTGGAGATAGTGAAATCGTTTGACTGCAACGCCGTGAAATACGTTCTTTTCACCGTTGCGCCCTGTCCTAGTGCTGAGCGCTGCCCATCGGCGTTTGATCGGCTGATGGAAGGTAGTCGGACACGCTTCGCAAAGAGCAGACTGCCAGATAAATTCTCACGGCCGGCGGGGCAAAGTGTGCCGTCCGACGAACGTCTGTTCAACGACATAGTTGATCTCGTGGACAAGCGAAGGGTGAGGTCGTCTGATTTATCTCGGGACAGTGGACGCCAGTTCTTGTCTGTTCTCTCACGAGCATTGCTTTACGTTGATGGGCATAGTGATCGCTTCAAGGAGAGACACATATCGCTACCCCATGCGTTGCAGCAGTTTCATGGGTACAACAATCCAACTGCTACCAAACATAAACGTGCGTCTCTGGACGTTGACAAACTGAGCATACATGTGGATCGGGTGAGCGGCGTACATTTGCTGCCATTCCTGAATGGTTCTGACTACAAGGAGCTCAAAGCCTGGGCCAATGAATGCTGTGAAGCCATGCAGCAAATGGCAGCATACCTCCGCCAGCATTCAATTCATCAGATCGCAGACAGTACTGCCATGGAGCCAGCCAGGCAACCAGAGCAAGATAGCTCTCGTGTCATTGTCCTGCGTGTGACCAGGTTCCTGCAGCCTACAGTGATTTGGAAAAGAAGCTGGACAGCTGCGGCAAATACAACATAGTAGATGTCATGGACTACGCACCTGCTAGTCGGTATGAGAGGCGCCATTTCATTGACAAGATCTGCAGCAAATCAGTTCTGGCAGTCTTCAGATACCACAGTGGTGGATCTCACCAAGCCATTGTGTGTGTTTGGAGGCTCCCCCCGTGCGTGGATGACCGAGACGAAACTCGCCATGCACGTTGCATAGCGGAGCTCGTCAAGAAAGCACGTGATTTCCATACGAGAGCAATGAGAAAAGACTTTCTACACCGTTGGAAAATGGCTTTCCAGGACAAGGTCTCAGCAGCAGCTTTGAAAGCAATCTACTCAGAGCTTACAGGTGACAGCAGCGCGTTGACAAATGCCCAAGAGAAAGAAACTCGTGAGAAACTGCTGGAGTGGATTCTGAATTCTGATGACTTGGATTTCCTTCTCGACTATCACAGTGGCAGTGGACGGCTGAAGGAGGGTGCCTTTGAGCATTTCTGGGATGAGGTGGAGAAGTACCTGAATGAACAAGAGCTAGCTGTCCATGAACGCCGTCATGGTGAGACCATGTTCTTGCCCGTTGCAGTATCAATGACGTCTCTGCACAGGGCGATATGTGACCGCCTTGATGCTGGGCCTCACAAAGGGTGCAAGACACCATCATTCGAACTCCTTCGCCTGCAGTTTCAGCCGAGCAATGAGTATGTCAACTCATCTGCAAGACACACAGGTCGCTTCAACATTCACTATGCCGTCCAGCAGAGACAAATCCATGGTCATCATGTCGATAGCCACTACGCCAATGCACAATTCAAGTATGTGAAAGAATATGCTGTTGCACATGCGGGTGAAGTGGCGCTCTTCTGCCTTGACGACAAGGCTGGTATACCTGTGGGAGAACCAGGCACTCCTCTGTCAACTGGAGTCCGAGGCCATAATCGTTCCCTTGTAGCGTCTGGCGATTCTTTGGCAGCTAGCGACCATGACTGGCATGTTGCTGGTATCACTCCATCCGTCAGCCTGCACGTTGATATACCAGCGTCTCTTGGAGAGAGTTTCTTCACGGGCCAAGTGTCGGTCAACTGCAAGGAGAGAGTATTCCAGCCCTCCTCACCTTTCCGGCATGCCCAGGAACTGGCAACTCTTTTCCGTTCGTCAAGAGATGCTAACAAGAAGGTACTGGTAGTGTACACTGATGGTGGACCAGACCACAGAGTCACGTTTGGATCAGTCAAGGTGGCCCTTGCATGCCTCTTCATGGAACTGGACCTGGACCAGTTGATAGCTGTGCGTACCTGTGCAACGCAGAGTTGGATCAATCCAGCAGAGCGATGCATGTCCCTCCTGAATCTTGCTCTCCAGCACGTTTCACTATCCCGAGCCACCATGAGTGAAGAGATGTAGAAGCTGGCGAAGAACTCTACAACCATGGCTGAGCTACGGTCTGTGGCTTCGAAGCACAAAGAGTTCAAGCCAGCATACATTGACGGCATGAAGGGCGTCATTGGTGCCATATGTGAGCGATTTAAGCAGTTGGAGCTGAAGGGTATGCCAGTGGCAGTAGAAGAGCCAGCGACCGAAGACTCTATCAGCAATCTCTTCCGCCACGCTGAGGCCATTAACCCAGCACTCAAGATTCACTCTTTGCAGAAGGCTGATCTAGCCAGTGCAGCGAAGTACCGTCAACTTAGTGAGCGTGACACCCGTGCGACTCACTATTCCTTCCAACTGCGAAAATGTTCTGCTGACAGCAACCCATGTGAGTGGTGCAAGGAGCATCCAGCGGCCACAACAGAGAGGGCACTCCATTGGCTTCCGTGCCCTGAACCTGCCGGTGACAAGTCGTACCAGCCGTTTTCAAGCGTGTATGATGGCAGGGAGCTAGATGAACGCCATTGTCGGTCACTTTGTGCCAGTGCCAGCCACGCAAGGGACGCACAACACTCCGAGATCATGAACTCGAATGAATTTCGAGCCGCCGTGAAGTGTTCCGACTGGAAAACCGAGATGCGTGTATGCGAAGCTGAAGCTGACGAAGCCACAGCACGATGCCATCGCTGATATGATATCTGCAGCAGAGTACACTTGTGGTGCTCCCCTGTTCATGGACGACCATGAATTTGCTGAGATTGCTATCGTCAGGCGTGGCATCAACTGCACGAGCACCATGGAGGTCCCATACTTCAACCCTAAAGCTGATTTGCCATTGTGCTGCTTCTTCTGTGGAGGAACCCATCAACTGTTGCAAGACACGGATCCGTACATGCTAGGCATGCGGCGGAAATACAGTGTTGTCCGTCCACTCTGCTCAGCTTGTCGTACCGAGGGACGAGAAGCTGCAACCCGCAACCAGACGAAAACGGGAACAGCTGCAAAGCGCTCCAAGAAGTGAGAGGTTATTGATCTGATCCGGCCATGTGGTAATTGTATGCATATGAAATAGTAAATAATCGACGTGGAGACAACAATTTTATAATAGCAATAAAGAGAACAAATTCTGCAGTCATCGTCACACTACAACGAAGTCATGAAAGTTTATTATTATTATTATTATTATTATTATTATTTTGCTTGTTCAAGCATGAAAGTTTACCAGGATTAATTTTTTTGTTACATTCATCAGTGGAAAGTCGTGACTGAAGAGTAATCATGCTGCACAATGATTAAATATACATTCAATGATGTGTTACGAGAACAAAATACAGTGCCAAAATAGAATGAGGGAGAGCTAAGTGCAACGGCGGGTGAGAAACTAATCATTATAACGCTAAAACTGTGTAGTGAGACAAACAATCATGCTGTGCACCTACGAAAACAATTTTAACGCACCTACATGTTTCTTCTGCTTACAAAGATCAGGCTTATGCAAACGAATACAAACAGCCTCAAGTACTTTCAACTGACTAGCATACCGTGCACGACAAAGAACAGAAAAACTACAATCATCATACACCTGCAGACACTTAGGGTGAGACAACAAGTGAGGAAAAACTGCAGATTTCTTACGATCACAATCACCATCTGATTCCTCGTCTCCAACAACCGCAACCTCGTCCTCCGTCTCATCTCCCAACTCGTCCTCAGTGTCGTCCTCCGTGTCATTCTCCTCATCAACACTGATCGGTCCCAGGTACGCTTCATGTTGTTTAACCTCTGTTCGTTGACTCCTCCTTTGATCTTGATGGTAAATTGTTACCATTGTTGTTGTTGTTGTTGTTGTTGTTGTTGTTGTTGTTGTTGTTGTTGTTGTTGTTGTTAAATCTTGTGTTCCCAGTGTCCTCGCCGGTGCTTGATCTCCATTACTGTAATAATTCTTTGAATAATTAGCCGTTGATCGTCTAGGTCTTTGAATGTTGATTGTGTTACTTTCTTTGTTGAATTCCGTTCCCTTCAGCCTTCTTTCTCGTTGTTCACGTTCAGTGCTTGCCCCATCAATATATGCACGTGCCACCGACACCACAGACTGAGCCCCAGCACCTCCGATGATAGATGTAGGTGGCGGTTCTGGGGAGGCAACGGCAAAGACGGCGATGAGGGCATTACCTCATCACAGCGTCCACTTTGGTCTTGAGCTGAATGTTGTTGTGGTGTGTTATCTTGTGTTGTTATGGTGCATTGTGTTGTGGTGACAATATGCTCATTACCCGACTCCAAGGCTCTCGATACGGGTAATGGAGGCACTATTGCCGATGACGGAAATTGTGCTAACGATGGCTATGGCCGAGGGTTCTCCAGTGGCCTGCCGCGTTTGGGTCGCAGTGCCCGTGCCGAGCCAGTCAGCAAATGCAGTGGGACATTCTATTTTGGCACTGTATTTTGTTCTCGTAACACATCATTGAATGTATATTTAATCATTGTTCAGCATGGTTACTCTTCAGTCACGACTTTCCACTGTTGAATGTGACAAGAAAATTAATTCTGGTAAACTTTCATGACTTCGTTGTAGTGTGGCAATGACTGCAGAGTTTGTTCTCTTTATTGCTATTATATGAAATAGTAGAAAGGAAAAGGACATATGGAAACGAGTTAAGAGTAACTCTCCATCACTGTAACATGATACTATATACAGTCAGAAAGTGCACTTGATAACTAGGCACAAAACTGACAGAGTACTGAGACATTCGACGTCCTGACACCTAGCTTCAACACATCTCCGTAGCGCTAACCGACAGCCTTCCAACTTGGAAGGTTCAAGGTTAGGGAAAGACCAAAGAGGGGAAGGCAAGCGCAACGAAAATGAGCAAAAGCTACAGTCCCAACGGAACAAAGAATGTCGATTGTTACTGGACGATGACGAGACCAGTACGATATTTGACAAAGCGCTAAACTCGCTCTTAACTCGTATCCATATGTCCTTTTCTCTTCTACATTTATTTATGGCTCAACATCCGAGTTTCAAATTGCACACCTGATGAGCCGTCACGAACCATATGAAATAGTGTGATTGTTTTATTGCAATACGCATAGACACTTGACTCACATGTGTTTCTATTAAAATATAATTCTATAGCGGGTGGTAACGCAAATGTGCGAACTTTAAACTTTCCAATACAGCAGTATATAGCAGTTCATGTGTTATAATTTCCTGTAGTGCTGTTCTACCTTGCATCAATTTAATATCCATAGTGTAATATCTCACCTGTGTCGAGAACTTTACTGTTCTTGGTGATATAAAGTGCTGCGTTGAGCGCAGAACAGAACTATCAAGCAGGGCTAGCATCACACATTCATAGTATGGTACTTGTACATGATAATTCAACATGCAGTACATACACAATGGTACACAATCATGTACATGGTACAGTATATGCATGCTATGCTGTCATCATCATACGTGTAGTACTGTATATATACATGCACTAAAAAAATTAAATTAAATAAAAAACCCCGCCCGCACCAATTTCACATGGGTGCCGCCCGGGAATCTCGATTTTTTTGGTCTCGCCTATTAAAAGAGGTTAATTGTTTCGAACATTTAAGTTAATTCCAGGCCAGGAGTTTCAGCTTTTGTGACTGTAACGAATAAAAAGTCTCCCCACTTGCAACCCTCATAGTAGCCTGACACAAACTGTTACCGGCTGATTTTCCGAATTTGTCTATGGTACTCCTGCTATCCCGATAGGATTTGTGTCTTTCGAGGGTTTTAGAAGTTGACGGTTTTCTCTACACACCTCTTCTCTTCTCAGAGGACACCGAATGTCTGCTTCGAACATGAGTGGAACCCAATCTTACAGATGTGCCGTTGACTCGTACAGTGATCGTGGCAGCCTAGGCAAGCACGGCAGTTTAAGCCGCAAGGCCTCGGCTGAATTCCGACTGGAACGGTGAGTTGCTTAGCAGGCTGTGTAACATTGCGTAGGAAGCACCGTATTTTTCTGGAATAAAAGACGCAGCTCTTTACTCTAGGCGTCTCGGCCAAAGAAGTAGTTGTAACCCCATTGTGGCCGTGCTACTGCCCCGAGATGCGTGTATGCGAAGGTTTTTATTTTATTTTTTATTATGCATTTATGGCTGTAGGGCAGGTGTTCGCAACCCCAGAGGATAATGAAAAGTGGAACAACCAACGTTACGTAGAAAAAAAACGAAGAAAATCAGGCAGCTGATGATCAATTTCACTTTTCAAGCCCATGGCAACTACGTTATGGTTCAGTCTGTGGACTTGACTATCGAAAATCTACGGCCATGCTGATTAGAGGCTGTAGACCACAGTACATACAGTACATTTTCCAGTACTAAAAAATAAAATAATTCAGCGGGGAGGGTGAAAATTTGGGGCGGGAGCAGATGATAAACAATCAATTTTTTTTACTTGGCTTTAGCGGGTTTTATGTTCCACTTTTGTGATTCTTATCAAAAGACCTAATGTGGTTTTCTCTCTGAACACAAAACAACAGTAAAGATTTTGTTTATGCCACTCATTCATGCAGTAGCTGTGAGGGTTTGATTGGTCGTTAAAAAATCTCAATACTTTCAGTCAGTTGTGTGCCTTTGTTGTCGCACTTGCTGAGTGGATGACTTGGTTACTTGTTCGTATCCATGGTTACCTTTGCTCGCCATCCAAGCTACAGGACTTGATTGGAATTTTGATTCAGTTCCTTTCATTGTTACTTCCCAGCTTCCATAATGGAAGATTATCTCCTGAACACCTAATACATGAATAGGAAAAAAAGGGAGAGAGAGGTCCCGCTTGGATTTGTCGTAACTCAAAGTTTCAGCCTACTGCTTTCATCAGGGGCAAAATAAAACCTGTTATCTTGCCATATAATATATGTTGAGAATTTTGGGATTTGGTTGGTATTTTGATTAAACCGTTGAAGAATTTACCTGTTGTTTTCTTTGTTACTTGCCATCTCAGGGGGTGGAGTAGCCATTCACGAGTGGCACCAGCGTACATGAAGAGACGCTCTCTCCACGAAGACTGCTCCTCTCGTCGCCGGCCGTTCTGCAAGACGAGATCATTCGACCAGTACGGTGTCAACCAGTACAATGGAGCTGCTAACACGGCCAGTAACTGCGCCGATCGTCCTCGCAAGCACGTCATCACACGCCGCAGCGCCGGCAACGCTTCGAGCACACGTTCGTAAGTTCCCATCAGAGTAATTAGAAAGTAGCTTCACCTGGATAGCCCGCATGGGACACAAGCTGGAGGGGGGGGGCAAAGGGGGACACAGCTGAGGAGGGGGTGGAGGACCCAGGGGGTGGGGGGGGGGGGTACCTCGAGAGTCTGTAACCATGATTACATACACCAGCAACCCTACATGTATGATACTGGTGATATAGTAGTTAGGTGGAGCGGCTGTTAACCAATAGAGTGACCAGCTACACCCTGATAGTGAATTTCGAACCACCCTCCAATCCTGCTTCTTCGGGAGAGTGCCCTGCCGGTTGAGCTAATGGGATTATGCAAACACACAAGCACACACTCTCTGCACGCAGGCACGCAAACCGTAGCGTTCACACATGACCCATGCCATGCACACAAATATACACCTGTTTTCTCGGAGTAATGGACTGCTCCCCTCCCGAGCAGACTAAATCTCTCCAATTTCACTTAGGCTTGCTATAAGGGGCCACTTGGGGTCTGCAACATCAATGTAAACGTTCAATGGTACAATTTAGAGACCTCTTACGGCGGAGGTTAAACTCGAAACAGGGCAAAAGCAAGAACTGAATTTGGGGACGACGAGCGATGTTTCAAGGCATTCAGCAGAGCTAAGAGCAAAAAGATAGAGGAAGGTTAGCACATGAAGGAAAGGCAGTCGGATCGGTTGGCCACCACTTCACCCTATATCCCAGTGTCGGATGCAGACCTCACCAGTCGGTCATGGTAGATAGGAAACGAATCTCAATCCCACGGTCGTATAACTGCCAGATGGCCCCTTAGAGGAAAAGACCGGGACCAAATCAAAATGTAATCGCCTGGATAGCATTCCCTTGACCAGACAGAGCCCTCCCCTTCAAGTGTGATTTTTTTCGTTGATTAATTTTGAATGACACCTAGCATACCCCAAATTAATTTTCATTAACCACAATGTGAAGCACCTCGTCCCCGGGCAGAAACTATGACCTATAACATGCAAGCCATGACTTTAAGCCTGCCATATTTCCTCTATGTGACGTCTCCGTGCCTAATGCCTCTAGAACCTCTCTTGATGTGGTAAATCCGTTGATAACTGACTATGATCATGATGAAAACACGTTCTCAACCTCGTTGTGCCTGTTTCCTTTGCTCTGCGCACAGGCTAATGACGCAATTGTCCAGCAATGCATCATCGCTCCGGACGACAATAAGCCACCTGGTTGACGAGCCCTACACTCTCCCCGGTAATCAAGCAATCAACCCGTCTGCCATGAAAGCACGCAAAATGCTGGCAAGACAGGCCGTGGACGGTGCCATGAGTGACTGCATACATCCGACTGACCTGTCACTCAAACCGACAGTGCGGGAAAGGCTAGAACGGTTGGAAATGATCTCCCAGCACTCATACAGTGACTCTGGAAATGGAGACTTAGACAGCCAGCCTATGTCAGTAACGTCTTTTCCCGAAAGCCCACGGCATCTGGACAGTGACAATCTGGCCTCACCTACCTATTCCAACTTTCTGAAAACTCAAGCCCACCGCGACAAGAGACGGCCAAGCATAGCTCCAGATGCCGTTGACCGATTAGACAATGATGAGTCAATTGCCGATAACCTGAGCACTATCCTGGGAAATGATCAAACTATCAATGAATCTTTCCCCCGTGTCGAGGCATCACTCAGAAACTCGCCGCTTTTGGACACCGACGACTTGATCATTACTGACAGCGGCCACATGTTCCAAAGCACATGCACCATTGCAGATTCGACTTCACCTGGAGGTGTACCTCGAGAGTCTGTCGGATTTGTTTCCCTATTGCCAGAGAGTCCCGAAAAGCAGCAGGCAGCACTGGATTCAAATGAAAGGCCCCGAATCTACTGTGTTGTTCCTGAGTTTTCCACGACCGGAAGTTTGGAAGATCCGGAAGAGCATTATCGTTTGCTGCCCTCTGCTCGGAACTCCATCGAGATTGAAATACCTCACAAGCCAGTAAAATCAGCAAAGCAAATGTCCCACCAGTGTAATATTGATGAGTGTGCCGACGCAGAACTCGGCAGCCCAGAAAACGTGCCCACTCCACTGCCAAGTGACCCAAGTTCATACAAGTCCGTACAGTCAAAGTCAAAATTGTCACAAGACACGACCGTCCCCTCTATGAGTTTAATGGCAAGATTGAACCCTTCGTCAAGGAGGCACTCACCGAGCCTAGATGCTGGTGTGACACAGCAGCTGCTGACGCCTGCTCCACACAGCTCAGACCCGGACTCCGTCAGGACATTCTTGGCTTATGATTTAGAGTCGCCTCGCCCGGAGTCTGCGCTACTGCCCAGTGACGAAAGAGCGAAGTCGTGCATCACGGGCCGCCGTCTGCGTGACCTGATCACCACTACTGAAAAGGGAAGGCTGGTGACGAGGCAGGCGGACAGCCCGGCACGGAAAGGCCGCTCACTAAGTCTGCACGCCATTGGCATGTACGTTACGACACGGCCGGACATTGACGGCGAACTGGGCACTAAAAAGACTCACTCCGTGACATAAGCAAATCGATGCGGGGTACCGTCTCATGGCTCAGGGCTGCCAGCAAGTGTCCGTGTATTTGTTAGAGAGTAGGAATACAATGCACCAGTCACAGTGAATGGTGCCGACGGGGAACAAAGTGAGCTGCTCCCACCTGACGTGCAATGAAAAGCAGCTGAATAAACTGAACTGACATACTAGTGTATCTGTTTCGGGAGGATCGGTTTGAAACAAGCCCGCATGGCATTTTCTAAGGCTGGCTGGAAACAGTTCCACCACCGTCAGCAAGCATTCTGGAGCATTATGAACACAAGTCGGTGAAACCGATGTTTCTTACAATGGAATTGAACGCGCGTTTTATTGTATTCCACATGATACAGCAATGACTGACGCTGGCAACAATAAGTAGATTCAGAGGGATTGAGGCTTCAATCTCAGTTTACAACATTAAAATACAACCCGGTCTTAGCAGCAGGACCACAGGCGTCCATGCCTAGATTGGAACAGCCAGGAACATTCAGAAAGGCAGCAGGGGTGAATCGACGAGGTACCTATGCCCAGAGTACCTCCGGCTGCCATTCACCCTTGTGCAAATTAATTGCCCAGCTCAACGTAATTTGACAACTTATCGATCTACTAGTAGGTCTTGACGTCATGATGACATCATGATGACTTCATGATGACATCATACTGTAGTACAACTGATGCTGTTTCTGCCTTAGTAGTGTACGGTTGCTACCCACAAACGAGACTCTGTAGGAGACACACATCCACCACACCAGGTGAGATCTTCCCCCTAGAACCTAGAGCCCAAGTGTTCTCAATAGTTAACGGAGGGCCAGGCCGCTAACATGACCTATTGACAATTTCAAGTTATAGCCACGATTTCCATATCAAGCTGGTCCTCTTAGTCGAGACAATCGTAAAATAGCTCTAGAATACAAGTTATTGAGATATATATGGTAGGCATGACCACCAATACCCACAGAACGCCTGAATCTGGGAGATGATCAGCGATGTTTTGCAGGGCAAATCGGCACTGATGCTATTATCTTTGTTGTGCATTATTTTGTAGATTTTGCGAGAACTGTTTGTGTCGAGTGTCTATTCCACACCACACAGCCACTGATACATGTAGCTAGCGCTTGAACACACCCATTCTTCTTTTATGATCCATACATTGTGCAAATTGCGTACACTTCTTTATTTAGAATGCGAAGCACACGGCTTTTTTTTTTGATGAGCTGCCTGTCGCCTACACTGTTTTTAGTATGTTAGTGTTTGTATATTTATTTTCTTATACGATACGTGGACCCGTTACGATTTGTAGCCGCGCGAGTTCAGTATAACTAGCTGTGGCCCACTTTTCATAACTGTGTTTTCATGCGTGCGTCCATGCATGGACCGATCGATGTACATAATATATCCAAGAGCCGATATCTCTTTTATAATATTGCAAATTTGAAGTTCACATTTTGCCTCACATGATTGATGACATACACCGCGCACCAGTGCGTTGGGGACTTGCAGAACAGGAACATCCAGAACTCAATTTTCTTTTTGCGCCTAAACTCTATCACACATTCTTTTAAGGTTTTTCTTCGATAAGCGGTCATGTTGCTAACTCTATCCCTGTGTATGTTGAGTTTAGCTAGCTGCCGCTTTCAAACGCTGTTTTCAATTCGATGTCACATATGTTATGTAATTTTGTGCTGATTTTCAGATAGTGTGATCCGCCTCCGATCCATTATGGGTCCACGAGTTTGAAATCACTGGTCTTCCTCTGTGCTATCCATTTCTATGTTCACGCTGTCCTGTTTTCAAAACTGTTTTCCCTCCATTCTCACAATTGGCCCGTTAGCAAATAAAGTGACGACGTCAAACGAACACATGTGTGCGCTGGGTCGACTTGTTTGTATGGCATTATTGAACGAAAACCTGGATATCTGAAAGTGCGTTTAGACTGTTGTTGTTGCTGGTCACAAACAAGTCGACCCAACGCACACACATGTTCGTTTGACGTCATCATCTTTTTTTACTAATGTGCCGATTGAAGAAACTGTCGACATCTGCATGGATGTTTTGTACCGTAATGACGACATAGACACTCCTTAGATATCTGAAAGTGCATTTTGACGATCGTTATTGCTGGTCACAACCGGAGTTGAGTTTTCGTTCAACAATGCCATGTACAAACAGGTTGATCCAACATACAGGCGTGTTCGTCAGTTCTCGCACCTGCTTTTTCCTTTGCACTCTGCCTTAGCTTGGTTTACCCAATACAGCAACAAATTCATTCTAAAATGAAATAGCGCAACCTGTACACCTGTATGATCGATCTATGAGTGTATATATATATATGTGTGTGTGTGTGTGTGTGTGTGTGTGTGTGTGTGTGTGTGTGTGTGTGTGTGCGTGTGCGTGTGTGTGTGTGTGTGCGTGTGTGTGTGTATGTGTGACTTCTTCAACACTGGTGAAGACCCTCGGAATTGATTCGAACATCGGCGACATCATCCACGAGCGTCGGCTACGGTGGCTTGGCCATATTGGCCGCCTGGACGATGACCATCTGGCCCAGTGTACTCTGTTTGTGGAGCTCTCTGCAGCTCTCAGCACCGCTCACGCAAGCGTTGGCGGGATGTGGTTGTGGACGCTTTCAACCGTATTCATCCACCTGTCCCGGAGAAGGAACGGCTCGACACTGCCCAGAATCGCTCGGTGTGGAGGGAGGTCATCCACCGCCGTCCTCAGCCTCGTGATGTCTCCGCCGAGCTAGAGTATCGTTGTGCTTGCGGGAAGACGTGTTGCCACCCCGGCAATCTCAAGCGCCACGAACCTTTCTGCCGGTTGCCGCCGAATTAGTCCTTTCGCCATCATTGCCTACGGCAATGGGCAAGTTCAAGGTTCAATGTGTGTGTGTGTGTGTGTATGCGTGTGTTTGTGTGTCCCATATGGTGCAGTGGTATGTGCAGCGATTTCCAATCGATAGGTTGCGGGTTCGATTCCCGACGATTATGGTCACACACGTCTTTCTTCTCTTTCTCAGACTCTTCCTGACTTTTCTTTCATTCTCCTGGGTGGTTACCAACAGCCAGTGCATGCCGGAGTATGTGGTGTGATGTGTGTGCGGGGAAAAAAAAAGAAGACCAAAAATAGGGATTCACTGGCCAGAAAAAAGTCACTTCAAAATAGCTGTATGGTGTAGACCAGGCTGAATAGTGACGGTCAATTCTTCAGCCTTGCAAGCTGTTGAATGGTGCAATCCCAGCACAAGTTGCTATGGCTTCTGCCGTAGCATTGCTATCATCGCCTCCGGCGATGGGCGTCAAAGGTCAAAGGTCAAGGTGTTTGGGGGGGGGGGGGGGTTGCGTGTGTGTATATACATACATATGGGTGTATAATCTTTGTGTGTGTGTGTGTGTGTGTGTGTGTGTGTGTGTGTGTGTGTGTGTGTGTGTGTGTGTGTGTGCCAACAGCGGAGGGAAGTATGGGTTGCCCCTCAGTCGAGCTCCACCATGCCCAAGTCTGTGCGTTGCGCAGTGTGTGACCGGAACTTCTCACGGGTCTCCGATCGAACGCGGCACAAGTGCACCACTCAGAGACGGCTTCGCATCCAGCTCCAGCGTGGATCAGTGCAGTGCCAGAACTGCCAGAGGTGGTTCCGCAGCAAGGGTGGCTACTCTGTTCATCGATGCCAGCCTGTCACGAGTTCTCCTACACCAACAGTCAGTCTGTCTGTGCCACTTTCAGCTTGTTGCCAGCAGCACTGCCCAACATGTCAGCGATGCTTCCGTTCTGCAGCCGGATTCAAGCGTCACAACTGCAATCGTGGTGCGAGACCATCTGCTGCTGAGAGAGCAGCTCTGCCCCTCAGCTGCCCACATTGTAAACGCAATTTCCGCCGGCAGCAGGACCTAGCCAGACATTCGCGGTTCTGCCTGTGATCCGACTCCCGTTTTCTGGTCCCCTTTTCATAGGGGTGACACTTGCCCATCTGGGCAGTCATGCTGCTAGTAGTAGTAGTAGTGTGTGTGTGTGTGGGGGGGGGGGGGGTGTATGTGTGTGTGTGTGTGTGTACGTATGACCGTACTCGTGTGCGGTTTAACCACCCAAGCATGTACAGTACAACGGAACTAAAGATGTTGACACCGACTTGAGCATGTCAACGACATCAGTTCAAAGGCATGGCCCAAGTTCTTCCTTGAAAGCAACACGATGCTCTGGGCGGCGTTGCACTTGCATACTCTCTCGATTCTGGCATTGACACTTTCGATCGTCGCCTGCGTGTCCAAGACTGCGTCAGACGACTCGTGAGAGCTGAACGCAAGTAACGTTGTAAGTCAGCCGGTTCGCCGCCTAATGATTATGTACTAGCCCACAACTTGTGTCTCTTCGCTACTTGAGACGATGGGAACGATTCAGCTTCGCTGTCGACATCAACATCACTGAGATTCCAACAAATTGTCAGCATCGCTCTGCAGACCCACCGCCACGGACTTGCAGACACCTGAACAAACCTGGGCCATGCACAGCGATCGTCTGGCCCTGCGAGCTGCTCTAGTATCACTAGATGCGGACATTGTCAGTCTTTGCTCGCCAGCCACATGAACTAGACCGCCAAACAAGTGTTTGAAACAAATTTGAGAAGATGATCGCCAAATCATGAATCATTTGAATGCAGTGCAGAGTGAACGCACTCCAAAAAACACGACCTGTACTACAGTAGACTCGTACGCCCAAGAACGCGGTTTCAGAGGGCCAGCCTAGCAAAGTTAGTTCTTATTTTTCAGCGCCCCAGGCTACGTTCTTATTTCGCGTTCTGAAGCGGGATTCACAGAAGCTTTTTTGTGATGCGACACGCGATGCGACAGACGCGAAACCGGGAAAACCCCAAATCGCAGCCATGTCGCGGCCCACGCAACTGCCGCAACTGGGCCATCGCAGAAGTTGAGCTTGGCTCAACTTTTGCGATGCGATGCGATGCGACAAGCGATTTGGTGTACGATTTTGACCTTTTCTACAGCAAAGTTGTACAAAGGTGCAAGAGTTGCCTATAAATTTTTACAAGTTGTGTCAAACCGCGCGAATATCATGGTGACGTACCCAAATCAGCAAAACTTTGTCGCATCGCTGACTTCTTCTGTGAATGGTATTTCGCGAGTTCGCATCGCACGCATCCATCGCAGATCGCGTCGCATCGCGTGTCGCATCGCAAAAAAGCTTCTGTGAATCCCGCTTTACATGTACGCGTCCAACATGACCCGTGACGCTCATGTACAATGCTCTTTGCACTAAATGTACCGGTTGTACACTTTACATGCACGTGTGTAGTATGTAGCGCAGTGCACTGGGTGATGTTTTCGCGAGGACCCGACAAGAGTTTGTGGTTGCGGACTTGTTTTTCGTGTACTCGGACAAGATCATGAAGGAAAAATGTCGCGTTCTTATAAATCTTGGAGTTCGTTCTTAAATCCTGGCTGGGGCGTTCTTAGATTTCCAGCCCGGACGTTCTTGGGCGCCACGTTCTTGGGCGTACGAGTCTACTGTAGGACCTACTACTGTCAATAAAGATATTTTTGGCCCGTGAGAAACTTTGGCCGATCCCGAAATGAAACTGTTGGCCGTCATCAAACTTTCGCCGGTTTTCAAAAAATAAATCGGACCGTAGTTCTTGCACTCACATGCAGCCATCGCCTAACTAGTAACTATGCATCATTTCCCTCTACGACAAACTTTGGCCTGCGATTTACTTAGAGCGGTTGGCACCAAGTGGCGATATCAGTGAAATTCTATCGACAGCGAAAATTAGATGATCTATAGAACATGTTTGGAAAAGGAAAAACATTGCTTGCAGACGGGGGGACATCAGGGAGCCCTGTACGGTGCATCTATCTGTCCCTGAGAGCATTACATACACCGCCAAGTATGAACGTACTTCGAAGTTTATAAGCTCCAGGGAGCATATTAACTCTTGGTACCACAAGGCACATTCAGGTCTCCCTGGTCTCTGCTGCGTCATATATCATACATACAGTACTGTGACCGATCGATCGCCGATCTCCCTTCAGCTTTTCTAAAAAGTAGAAAGATAATAAAAGGCCGAAAAGATGGTCCGGTGAAAACTGGCCCAACGGGACTGGTGGCTATGCCCTTGTAGGTATACCCAGTGGCATCCACTTCGGTCGGCGTACGTGCAGTTTGATCCGGATACCGACACCTCACGGTTGTCAATTTTGAATCCGCAATATATCGTGGCCCAGGTACTGCCTAATGTTGAGCCCGTGCGTCAAATAGAAAAAAGGTTGCACCCGTTGTAGAGCGGGATTTTTTCTTCTTTTTAGTCAACCAGTGTCTTGGAGGTTTGACTTAATGGGGTTGACGACTGTTGCAGTGTTCGGCTCTCCGATAACTGTATGAGAAATTTGTCAAACAAAATATTTGTCTAAATATCTTCTTTCTGTTGATTGGGCCTACGAATTTTCATCACATTAGAACATAGACCTGTTCACATACAGCCTATTCAAGCAGACCTGTTCACATACAGCCTATTCAAGCAGACCTGTTCACATACAGCCTATTCAAGCAGACCAATCTTACGATAAGGCCATGGCAAGAATATAGTTGATTCTCAGGTCATGAGCCTGTGAAAATCGGTGCGAGCGAGCGATTTATTTATTTATTTCCAACAATTTTTTGTGTTTTTCCAAAATCGATTTTCACGCTCCGATCATCAGTGGAAATACGGAACTAAAGAGATCAAGGGAAAAACAAAGGTTCGTGAGTTTGCACCCCGTGTTCATGAGTTGTTTCTGCACTGTTCATGCCCGGTTGTCACACTTACTCTTTACCCGTCATGTGTCATGTGTCTTTGGATTTTTAACCTTTGTTTTTCCCTTGATCTCTTTAGTTCCGTGTTTCCACTGATGATCGGAGCGTGAAAATCGATTTTGGAAACACACAAAACCAAACCTTGAACAAATTGTCATGTTGCGTGGTGATGTCTGCGGCATTCATACTTTTCATAGCTATTATTAAATTTTCTTATTTCCAAAGATAGGGTCACACATATGTATGTCACAGGTTCGTATACTTATTTTATCACATGGCACGTGATTGTTGCCCGTACTCCAGCGAATCAGCACCTTTCGCGCCGCGGGCAATAATATGCGATATTGCCCGCAAAAAAATAGTTTATTTGCCCGCAAAAAAATAGTTTATTTCAGTGATCGCGTGACTACGACGACTCTGTAGACTGTACGACTCTACGACGAGTCGCAGTGTAGCATTGAGACGAAGATGGAATTCTTTTTGGAGATGGACATCCCGGCAATGGACATGGCCTCGGACGTCTGCCGTGTGGTGCTTGCAGGGATCATTTGTTCAGTCATGTTGGCAGCCTGACCGTCGGTAAGCTTGTGGATAAGATTCAGTTCTGCTCGAAGTGGTACTGTGATCACAAACTATTATTTGAAATAACACAAATTCAACTCAGCGTCGTGCGTTTTCAAATCCTCGCAAAGTCACTGCCTGTGTGTGGCCTTCATGTGCCACGCAAAACTCTTACCAGGCTCATCTGTCCTCTGCCTTCACCTTTGCTTGAACAACAAACACAACAATTCAGGAATGTTTTGCAATGAAAAATACAGCTATCTGGAGCTGAAAAAAAGAAGAAAAATTGTCCTCAGAATTACACACCAGGGAGTCGTCAAATACTTGCACTTGTTGCAGTACTGTATTTGACAACTTCCTGATACACATATAAACATGAAGAAACTCTTTGTGGTAGCACTCTTAATTTTTCGACTGAAATTATGATTCTGCTGTATTTTATTGTCGTTGCCATGTCTATTGCTATGACGATGCGGTGCCGGCACTTTTTTTCTGTCTCCGTCTTTCAGTACTGTATACTCTCTGATGGCCTGTACCAGACTTTTTGTTAGGGTGTAGGAGAAATATCTTCATTTTTCCTGTTTTGATAATGATAGCACATCTATATACATTGTGGTCATAATGTGTTGCCATTTGGGCTAATTTCAACAGCAGCCCAATGGTCTGCTCTGTGGGCCATGTGATAAATTTGTTATCGCATGGTTGCTGCGGGCCTTATGGCATATTATTGCCCCTCGAGGTTAGCCCTCGGGCCTACGGCCCTCGGGCTAACCTCTCGGGGCAATAATATGCCATAAGGCCCTTGCAACCATGCGATAACATATACTTATTATTCAGGCCAGGGAGTAGAAAAATACCGGTATTTTACTACTCCCTGATTCATGCCTTTCGCATTGACCGTTTTCATGCGCGCATATGCATGCATAGAAATAAAAATGTCGTGCGCCGCCAAAAATCGGTGCGCGCGTACTTGAGAATCTAAGATAATTTTTACCATGGCCTAATATCAAGAGTACATAACCCCGGGGTTAGGTACTCTTGATAATAGTCACACGTCCGGTGGTGTGCGCTAGGCTCTGGGATGCTGAACACCGGATGAAAGCTGAAGGGGGATTCTTTTTGATGTACCCGTTTTAGGTAGAGACTACGTATTTCGTAGATGCATTTTCCTCTCAAAAGAGTAGATTCTACATTTCTCAAGGATCAATGCGCAGATGCAGCTCCTAAACCGGTGGGAGGGGAGAAGAGCAAACTTACCAAAGTGGCCAAAGACCGAGAGTCCCATTCACTGCATCCACACAAAACTAACCAACTCACACAGACTCCATTTCATTTAACAGAAAATAACTTTTCTTCGTTTCTAATTTAAACACCAATTGATCAGTCATTGTGTGATTCTTGTTTTACACATCGTCAGGCGCTAATCTCGCTAGAATCAGACTTGCTAATTTCCCACCTGAGGTAGCTGTCTGTGGTATGTTCCCCGCCTTGAGCTGCGTAATTCCCTCTGTCCATCTCGCAGGAGTTTTCCCAAGCGAAAACTCGTCTGTCGTCTGTCAAGGATAACCTTATGGATGTGGATTTCTTGTCATGTCTTCAACAATTGCCTTTTTGCCTCCGATCTGACAAACTCGCATTATTCAATGGAACTAGTAAACCTTGGTCACTCTCTGTAATCGGCGCAAACATCTGTTTTAAAAGATCAACGACCACCTGCGCCGGGGTTGGAATGCCGACTCTGTGTCTATAGTATAGCATATTAGAGATGAGGTAGGACATGTTTGTCAGAAATTTAGCACATTCCGAAAGAAGGAGAGAATATGAGTAGCATTCCACACTGGACTGGCTCGCGCCTGCTACGGGTGTAAGTAGGCTAGTTTAAGATTAAATTTAATTGGAGCGCTCAGTACACACTAATTCTTAGAATGAATAGCTAATTATAAGGCTACAACAGATATGCAACTTTCTAACGGGAACAATTGCGGGAGGGATTAGAACAAAAGAGTTATTTCTCATGGAAATCCGCATTCCGATGATTTCATAAGCACTTCGGAAGCATTCTCAGCCGATGGTTACAGAGGGACAAAATACCCCAGGGGTTAATGAAGGTAGTTGGGAAACTTTTCTAAGTACTCGCAGACTGCATTGCAGCCACTCACACATTACAGGGTACCTCAATTGGGAAACACAAAAAAAATAGTCGGTAAAACTTTACAATCTAAGTGAAAAAGCAGCTAATTATAAGGCTACAACAGATATGCAACTTTCTAACAGGAACAATTGTGGGAGGGATTAGAACAAAAGAGTTATTTCTCATGGAAATCCGCATTGTCATGTACATTACAAATACTGCAAAGACTACAAGGAAACGTGGTTCATGGACAATGAATACTACGCCAGTCAATTGATCACACGTATTGTATGGCAACGGCGCAGCGTTTCTGCGTCGCTCACGTCCGAAGCAGATTGAATCAGAAGAGGGAGTTGGGAAATTCTATACTAAGCCTGTGCTTATATTGTTGCACGTATGTATGTGTAGCAATCCTGCATTAGAGTTTACATAGTGACCTTGGCCTGCGTGAAAGGCATGGCCGGTTTCTGACGTGTTCAAATGGACGATACCCAATTCACGGACGACATCTCGTTTCTAGCCAGGAAGGTCTGCGCAGGACAAATGCGCTGGGATAAAATATCACCAACTGCATTCTGCACTAAAGAAATCTCTTGCCATTGAGAGTATGCAATCACGCGTCTGGCCTGCCGCAAACGTCTTCACAGTGTTCTTCCTCAACGGGGCTACCGGTGGCTTGTGATCAGTTGTGTTCACCTGTATCTTGTGGCACTGGGTAGTAGGCATTGCTTGCCCAGCTTCCCTCACTCACAAGGGACAGCTTCTTTCCATGACGCGGTGGCACCATGTCACTGTACATCATATTCACATACAGATCAGATTGCTCTGGTTCAGCAGTCATGGAGACTGAATTGCTAGGGATCGTCTGGTTTCCGCTGGAATCTAGTTCCTTCGAGTTCTGGTACATCACATTACTACGGATCGTCACTGATCTGCCGAGATCCGAGTCGTTTGAAGAATTAGAGTCCATGTCACTGTTGATTGTGGTGGATGATTGGTGGGATTCACCACCGGTTGGGCCATGCGTTTTCTTCTGCACGGCAGAGTACACTTGAATCTCTTCCGCCGAGGTAGGCGGCATTGCATTATCATAACATTTGGTCACATGGCCGGCTTTTCTTTCGCCTCGCTTCTTTGGGCGGGGAATCTCCTTGTATATGTTGGAGGAAAGTTCATCCAAAGCTCCATAATCCAATGTATCTCCTGACACCAAACTCAAGGATCTACTAGGCAACCTACACAACACAGACAAGTCCACAACAACAATAATTATAAAGAAAAAAAAAACAAAACATCGACAGCTGCAGCAACAGCAGCAGCAGCAGCAGCAGCCTGCAGAGGCAGCAACAGTTGTAGTCGCAGCTGCAGCAGCAGTGTCGTCAGCAGCAGCTGGGCTACAGAAGTGACCGAAAAAGTAGTGGTGGCGTCAAAAGCAAGCGCAGGCGCAATATGTAACGCAGCAGTAGCGCGAGAATTGCAAACAGAACAAGAAGCGGCAGAAAAATCAACAAGCGGAAATGCAATACGACAATGAAATTGGTTAGAACTTTTTAAAAGAGGGGTTATAACTAGGGCTGAAACGATCGCGTACTTTCACCTATCGATTACTCTTTAGCTTAACGATCGATTATAATGGTTGGCAAATAGTGTCAGAATTTTGCGCAAAAATCACTCTGTTTCCAAAAGCTAGGTCTTCATAATACTAAAAAACTGCATTACTGACAGGGTAGCTCCGAAATATGGCAGTTGTGAAGTCAATTTAACCTCAAAATATGCACCATGCCCAATGCAACTGCATACTAACAATGGTAACTAGTCCAAACTTCACAAAACAAAGATTTTCAGTACTTTTGGACTCAAAATCCCGTTAAACGAGTAATCTTTAACCCAACGATTACTTGATTGGCATGGAATTATTGATCGCTTACAGAGTAATTGGTATCATCGTTTCCGCCCTAGAACTTATAACATTTTGACACGTCAATGCGCTGGCAGACAATGGTTCTACGTGTTGCAATCAGGGTTTCTGCTAAAATAGCTGTCTTAGTCCGCCATGTTGCATCTTTACTCCTCTCATGTCGTATCTGCTACTTAAAATGCTTTGTGCTGCCCGAGTTTCTGTATGCATCCAATGCTTATGCCCCATATCTATCTGTTAACCAGGAGCTCCATCTGGAAAGGCTCTTCAAGCGCGCACTGCGTGCTGTATGTAAAATGCCCCCACGGACCCCCACTGTTACGCTGCTTGAGCGTGTACATGTCTGTCCCTTGCGCGCTACCATTCAACTTAACTTGCTCTGCTTTATATGGCGTCTAAGTTCTTCAGGAAGTAGATTGCTTGAAACCTTTTTCGACCTCTTTCGTCACGAAGAACTCGAGGAGGCAAGAGTAACCTGCTTATCGTCCCTGCAGCTGATTCTGGACATTATACCAAATTGGTGACACATGCTGGCGCAGTTCTCTTGAATTCCCTCCATGCGGATATCCAAGGCATCACCAAACTGGCCGCCTTCAAGTCAAGAGCTTTACAACACATTCTTGCCTGCTTTTTGCTTTACGCCCATGTTTCGGTAGCTGTGCTGGAACTGCTCTATTTCTCCGGCACTATTTACCATTAGCCATGTCTCCCCCTCCTCCACCCTACACAGTGGGTCCATTGTTTTTTTTAAATATTTTTTATTGGGAACACAGCCATACAAAGAGACATGTGGAGACAAACACAAAACAAGACACAGGGGATGTAGGGACGACGTGCCGATGTACAGGGAGCAACTCGACCGACCGGGGGTCTCGGCGTTAGCGTTGCAACCTGGCATCGAAAAAAGGGGGGGGGGGTTGCATTGTCGAGTAGCTAAAATAAAAAAAAATTATATTATTACCGTAGCTATGCAGATGACGTTACTTCAGTAACGTCTGGCGCTAGCTGGTGTACCCATATATGTTCTGCCTGTTGTACGCATTGCCCTTTTGCACTCGCGTGTGTACGCAAACTAGTACACACATGCATCACGGTTTTCTGCCTGTCCTTTCCTATGGACAAGAAGTCTTTTCTCTTTGTCTTCTGAAAGATAAGTCACAAACCCTACCTCGTGTGTTTGCGTTTGTTGACACAACACTAGCCAGGGTCCACACAGCTTTAATTTGGTGTTTGTTTGTTTGTGTGTTTGTGTCACGCCTGGCGCTATCCCGTACCTGTCCCGTACCGTACCGTACCATCAAACACAGCTGGCCACATACAGCTGGCTGCAATATTCAAATAGGGCTTTCAAACGAAAGATCATAACATGAAGCAACTTGGAAGAATGAGTATGAATGCGAAGGGTATGGGGGAATGCATGTAGGGTGATAGTGCGGGTTCGAATCCCAGGTTATGCCTAAAAAAATAGGAGGATTGAAATATTTATAGCATCCCTATGCTTTTTTTGCCTAGGTCATCAAGGCGGTAGACGGTGTCGTATTACCCTCGACCGTACCTGTCTCGTACCTGTCCCGTATCTGTCCCGTACCTGTCCCGTACCGTCCCGTGCCATCAAAGACGGCTGGCCACAATGCATATTCAAATAGGGCTTTCAAATGCAAGATCATAACGTGAAGCAACTTGGAAGAATTAGTATGTATGCGAAGTGTATCGGGGGATGCATGCAGGGCGCGCGATAGTGCGGGTTCGAATCCCAGGTTATATCTTAAAAAGGAATTTATTTTAGAATTTATAATATCCCTATGTTTTTTTTGTCTAGGTCATCAAGGCAAAAAAACATAGCGTAGGGCCCTGAGCTTCCAAGCTCTCTTGTTAGGCATCTGCCTGTTTTGGTTTCTCCACTATAAATAAAACTAATACTACTACTACTACTACTACTACTACTACTACTACTACTACTACTACTACTACTACTATAACGTCATGGGTAGAAGAGTGAAACGCGTTTTCTCGTAGATTGCTCTCAACCCCACCTGAATAGTGCATGTACCAGGCTTGCAGATGCGTAATATGGTAGGGAAGGCCTTATTGCATGGTAAGCATGTCCACCATTAATCAGGCAGTTTAAACTCCAGCCCTGCATTGTGTAAACACACATACTACAGAGAGGCCTTACTTTCTAATCTTGGACCTGCTGGGCCCAGTACTAGATGGATGACTCGCTCCCTCATCTGTGTACATCCTCGTGTGGTTGTCATTTCGCGGCCATGACTGATACCAGGGGCTGACACATTTACTTTGTCGGCAATCGAGAGGCCTGAAATCAGGGTGAGGCAAATTGACAACAACGAAAACAAGTTGAAAGAAAACATTCATCGAATCGGAGCTAAATTCGAATGTTGAGCCTCAATTCCAATTGAAATACTACTCTCTCGTAAACATCACAAATTACAGCAACACAAATATCACATTTATAACCCGGAACAATACCGTAAAAGCCCGTGTATAGGCCCCGGGCATATAGAATAGCAGCCTCGATTTCCTGGGCGTATACAAGGGCAGGGGCGTTATTTTTGAACCGGGCGTATACTTGGAATAGGGATAGCAGTATATTGGGTATCGGAACCTGTACATGTACTGGTGTTGCCGGCATACCTGAGCGCTATTTTGAAACAAAAGTGTTGACTTCCCCTGAGTGGGCGTGTACATGGACGGTGGGCGTATTTTCGAGTGGGCGTATACATGGGCTTTTAGGGTAACGCTAGAAGCAGTACTCCCTGTATAAGGGCGATTACGCCTGTGGGGAATTCCCCAGCAGAATAGGAATAAAAACAAATAAATAAAAAATACTGGCAATGCCATCGTCCTTGCTTCCCGACGATGTCATGACTGTCCGTGCCACAACCATCAACATTGCGCCAAATGTAATGACAAATACGGTGAGAAATTATCCTCCAAAGGTAAAATTATGCTGGTTGTCTTGAAGCCACACTCAGACAAGTATTTGCAAAACGCGCAAGAAGAGTTTGGGATTCTCTGAACCGAACTGATCTTTACAGCGTACGTATAAACTTATGGAAGCGGAAAGGTGGTTCTTGACCAGGGAGTTGTACGACTCCTTGTTCTTGACCTGCCCGGTACGCGAACCCGTCGAATTTTTTATTTTTGTTTATAAACTTACGAAGCTTTTATCCAATGGACATATTACAATATTACACAGCAATGAATCAAACAAGTCTCATTCCGCTGTAACTCCGAGTTTCGTGTCAGAACACTGGACATATTATATAACTATTCTAATATTGCTTCTTTCCAGGTAAGCCCACTCTCGGGAATAGATACCATCATAATTCCACGCCTCACATTTAGTGCATTATGATATAGAGCGTTCGAACATTTGCACTTGCGCCTGTTTCATGCTTTAGAGCTAAGCTGCTAAGAGCCCATCATGTGAGCGCTCAATGAACAGAAGTTATGCCCCAGAATGTCCAGCCTTTCAACATAACCCCTATGTTTTCCACCCATCATATACCGTAGTCTGTATTTCTAGTTTGAACGACTAGGAAATGTATCTGTATAATCCACGTGGTCTTCTCCTGGGATGCTGGCCAATTTCGAGGAGTGATCTCCGCCTCGGCTTCCCTCTTCATAGGTTCTACTATCTCAGGTACCGACCCTGCCACAAAACTGTGTATGATCCCGCAGACCGCGGCCTTTAATACACACGCTTTCGTTCTCCCTCATAATCATGGCTGCTTTTGGCTTTTTGTTCGGAGTTGTTGCTGCTAATGCTTCTGCTGCTCTTCCGTGTCGCTCCTAACGCATCATACTTACATATATCGCAGTGGTTGGCTTTCACCCACTTTCCTTATATTGGCCGGTGTTTCCACCGTGTCTTGAGATGTTGTAAAATAGACTGTCAACCTAGATTTCCTATTTCGTGCCTCACACGTACTATTCACACGTACTATTCAATTTTTTTTTTAATTATTACCGTAATCTCGAGCGTTTAAGCTTTTAAGAGCATCAACAGTCGCACAAAGAATTATTGGTGGCGCAAGGAGAAGCTTGCCGTTTGGAGTGACAAGGGATCACCGCTGCTTTTCCTTGTCAGAGCCAGCAATACACTTTGTTTTGCGGCCTTGTGAGTAGTGTTGGAGTAGAAATTGCTGAGGAGACGTCGCGGAGGGGCGAGCTTTCCTGCGCAGGTATGACTTTGGCCGTATTTCAGCATGGTCGAGTGGAAAAATTCATAAAAGTTTATTTCAAGAAAACCCCAAAAGGAAGATGGGGGACATGTCCTCAGCGCTAGAATAGGTGTTCTACTATCTGCCGGTGTATAGTTCTGGCCAATTGAGGACGTAGCTGGCTGTTTTGCAAGCGCTTATAAATTGGCTATTTTCAAGACGATCATTTTCGGCGTCAGGGGGTGATGGACCTCGTCTTCTGGGATCCTGGCGTGGCTAAGCGGTACTGCTCCAGGAACTCTTCTAAGGTGAAGCAATGTTGGCTTGATGGAGTTTTGTTCATAGCTTGTTCGTATACGCTGTGGCGTGACTCGTTTCTAGACCCATAAATAATGTGATATTTCGGCCATTTCTGAGGGGTATCCAAATTTCAAGGTTCCCTTCAGAAACTGTTTCAAGGGCTTTGCACAATCGATCCACACCCCAAAGGGAACCTACCTGCACACATACTTTGATATTCTCAGACATGCTCTCTTAAGGACATGGACCAAGGAAGTACAAGTTATGCCATAATGTCCACTAACACCACCAGTTACTAAAAAATCAGCTCATGCGATAACATTGCACGACACTGACCGACGGTACTGACGTTCTACAACTAACTGGCTAACAGCTCTAGCACGTCTTGGATGCGCACTCCAACAGCCTTCCAACTTGGAAGGTTCTAACTTATCGCATAACACAAGGAGGGGAAGGTGAGCGCAACCAAGATGAAAGTCTCAGCTGTGAATGACATTGGCGGGTGTTTATGCATGTCGATGACGACACTGGCTAGATCATTGAACAATACGGTCAAACCACGATTCAAGAATGTTATGCTATAAGTTAGAACCTTCCAAGTTGGAAGGCTGTTGGAGTGTGCATCCAAGATGTGCTAGAGCTGTTAGTCAGTTACCTGTAGAACGTCAGTACCGTCGGTCAGTGTCGTGCAATGTTATCATATGAGTTGATTGTTTAGTAACTGGTGATGATAGTAGACATTATCGCGTAACTCGTAGTTCCTTGGCCCATTTCTCTTTTCTATCTCTATGTCTGTCACCAGTTAATCCTATAATATAGGATAAGACTTCAAGATGCATTTTCAGCCTCGAAAATGGTCGAAGTGGAAGCAATGTTATCGAAGATGCATTTTGATCTTTCCCACAATGCTTGTCTTTATTTAAAATGAATGAATAGAGGTTGCTCAATGGCTAAGACCCCCAGGAAATCTGTGCGTATCTGTGTGCAATTATTGCTCATGAATTGCCATTACAAGTGGTAGAAATAGACTTGGAATGGAATAGACGAACATTAGCACCATCCTAGCATTGAAGTAGTGTTGCAAAGTGCTCGCAGATCAATATGAACTTAAGACAATACATGTTTGGGGCATTTACTAAATCAGTTGTGTTCAAGTATGTACACATATTAATAGTGGAATACTGTGTTGGTGCTAGCCTAGGAGGTGATTATTCTTAGCCATAGATGCATAGAATTTGTTTGTAAGCTCAATAAGAAATATGTCTAGGCTCGGATATTACAAACTATGGTTTCATGGGCATTGGAAACTGGGAAGAACAAAATCAATTTTCGAGGAGGCCAAATCCTATATGATAGGATTTTGAAAATTCGGGACACCTTTGCACGGGAAGGCCTGTTACAGATAAAGTTAAGCCCATGTGCTGGTGAAACTTGGCAAGCATCATCTCTGATAAACACGGAATGCAGACTCCAACAGGTTTTTGAGGAAAGAAAGTTACTTTGTAAGGTATGATCATTCTATCCCAAAAATTGGGAAAAATCCAATAGATAGGATTTGACAGACAAAGAGATTAATATTATTTATCCTTCGCTCTCCACGCGAGTCCCTTCCTGCACACCTGATGAGCCGTCCTTATCTATACAAGTAACCGATCGTCGTGTGAAACTGCTGCTCATTACTGCTTGTTATAGGCCATCTTAATTTTCATAGTTGAATCACAGCGCTGTTTTACTGACACGTTTCTTGATTCTTGTTCGCATAGCTTCCCCTTTGATTGATCTTCGCATCTTTTGAGCCACACAAGTTGTGTGGAATGTTCCTTTCCAGCACTGGCACATTGAAAATCGAGAACATGCAAAGTCCAGTCAACGCCGCTTCCATGCTATCGAGCCGAATGTTCGGTTTGCTGCTCTGATCCATGGTCTTATAATGGAACGAAAATGCACTTTGGCAAGGACAGAAAACAGTGACTTTTCGACTACAAGACCATTACAAGTCTTGTGTGCGCGAGATTTTGGTACCTTACCTAATGTCTCTGTGTTTGATGTACGTGATGACGTAAGAATCATCATTCTTGTCTGGCCGCGTCCGTACCTCCAACTGTCCTTTCAAACAGGAACTGGTCCCCTCTAAGCTTTGAGATCTCTTCATAATACTCTGATATTTCTCACACAGCATGATGTCGTCATCTTTATCTTTGGCGCAGTCATCTGTTTCCGGCACAGTAACCAATTTGAAGGAGCTCCTGGCAGTCCTGTGTCAACATCAACAAGGATGACAACGGGAACAAAGAAGAGGAAACAAAACGTTGATGGCATGACTCAAAACGACTGTAGCGAGTTACACCTCAAGCAACGGAAGCAGCAGCTGCAGCCGGAGCGGCAGCACAAAAATATCCAAGACTTCAGAATGTTGACCAGTATAATAAAATTCTGAAACAATGTCCTGCTCTCTCATAATGGGAGGCTGAAACCACTTGACCAACAATGGAAAAAAAGAATCTCATCATTCAGTTAGACTTCAGGGAAAGGAGACCTTTTGAACGTACAAGAAGTAAATTGTTTAGTCATTTTGTCGTGCATGCATGCATGCCCACCGAAGACTTGCATCAGACTAGAACATTAGTGTGTGAAAAGGCTCCATTTTCACTGGTAAGCCTGGACTGTAGAAAATTGGTCAGCTGTCGGGGAAGCGAAATATGCTGAGGTTCAGTTCGGCTTAATGATACGTTTTAACAGCACAAATCATCAATACCCATCATAATGGCATGTGCTCTCACCCGATTGGGGAGTCATTCACGTCCAAAGAATACTGTCCATTGGTGCTGTCATTAAAGGGATAGTCGTCTACAGCTCGGGGCAAGCTTAACCGTTTGCGCAGATACACCAGAAGCCAAATGCCTGCTATTGCAAGAACGAACAGTCCACTATAAACAACTGGCAGCAGCCACGCATCTTTGTCCTTGGTCTTTTCCATATCCCTGTCCAATTCTAAACGAGACAGCGGTAGAAAATAAAAAAGTGTAACGACATTTAAAAATTAGAAACGAAAAACTTTGACAGTATGCAACTGGGTGGGGGGGGGGGGGGGAAGGGGTGGGGGGAGTTCCGTAATATGACAGGCTCCCTCTTGACACATCTAGAACTGCTTGAGCTTCAACATTTAAAACTGTTATATTAATCGGTGTACATTCTAAGATCTGTGAAAGAAGGGAGAAGGCGTTGTCATAGCAAGGTAGATACATACTCTTTTATCTGGTGTCCAGAACAGAGCAACAAGGACAAGCAATGCTTGTTTGCTGCTACTTCAAGTTCAAGCTCTCGCAATCATCAGGCAACATGAAGATTGGGTGCCGACCATGACAGTATATATGCCAGGAGAGGGTGGTGTAATAAGCTGTGTGAGAATGTGTGGGCTAGCGGTGTTATTTTGGGCAGGAGGCTGTGTGCAGAGTGTGTGGTTGTTGAAGGCAGAGGCTAGCAGTGGAATGTTAGCGCAGAATGTGTGGCTGGTGCGGGCAGGAGGTGGTGAGCAATGTGCGTGGATGTTGTAGGCAGGAGGCTATAGTCTAGAGCTAGGAGTGTGATATTAGCGTAGTGCACATGTATGTGGCTGGCGTGGGCAGGGTGTTATGAGCAAGGTGTGTGAACATGAATGGTGCGGGCAGGGTGTTATGAGCAAGATGTGTGAATGTGAATGGTGTGGGCAGGGTGTTATGAGCAAGGTGTGTGAACGTGCATGGTGCGGGCAGGGTGTTATGAGCAAGCCGGCTGTGTGAACGTGAATGGTGTGGGTAAGGTGCTATGAGCAAGCCGGCTGTGTGAACGTGAATGGTGTGGGCAGGAGGCTGTAAAGACATATTTAGGTGACACCGTGGTATTGTAGGAGATACTCGTTCTCGTGTCGGCACTTGGACACCATTTTCGAGCGCTTGTTGAGGCTGGATGGTGACCCTATCTGGTTTCCATTCATCTTGTATGATGTAAGTGGTAATTTTCATAGGTGGAGGGATGGAATACCATGATCATTAATACTACGACAACATTCTACCCACCCATCCATTGCTCACCCAGCGCAGAAAGGACGTGGAAATGGCGTCACCGTTGTAAACGAACTGTATTGTTTCTCAAGCTGTTTCGGCTATAAAGACCTAATCAGTACAGCCAGGACCTTTAAGTAGGCCGAGCTTTCATTATTTGTTAATATAGATTGGACAATTAAAATGTGTCCCACGCAGACATGGGACTTGCTACCACAGGCTCTCATATTACGGGGAAAACTCACGGGACTGATGTAGGGTCCGATGGATTCTGCCGGCAGAAAAATTGACAGAGTTCGGTACTTTTTCGGGTAAGTTTCATGCATGTTTGGTATGTGGATAAAAAATGGAGCAGAATTCGAGGAATTGCCCGCCATAAGGTATTGTATGGCTTTTCGAGCAGAATCTGCCACCTTTTCGAGCAGAATCCGCCGGTCCCTAGACAGACGCCAGTTGGTGTATGAGCACTTCTCCACCCCCGAGAGTCTAGCACTTTGTCAGGGTGAAGCCAGCATGAACTCTACATTATTTGAAATCAGCCAAGACCTTATCTTGTCTCCACCGGGAAGAGTTTTCCTCACTCGTGGTTGCCATAATCGTGAAAATGCATTGAAAACCTTTAAATTGGCTTTGACAAAAAATTCTTACTTGGATTCAAATACATAATCGTCACTGATTGAGTATTTTTGCTGTTCTTGTAGTAGTTGCGCACTCTCATGTGGGGTAGTGCCTTTGCTGTTTGCATTCCGCAGTAGTTTGAGCACTCTGGCAAGGTACGTTCGGGCCTGATTTAAATCTGGCTTTGGAAATTATATTTTCATTGCTATCACGTTCGGCCTCATTTTCTCTGTGCTGCGCTGAAGAGTTCACAAAGAACGAAACAGCATGCTGTCCGCAGATTGAGTAATCGTACTTTCATAACCCGTAGTCGTACTAGTTTTCACCTTCTTTTCTCCTGTTTTTCATTCACTTATATATTGGTGTGCAATTTGAAACTCGGATCTTGAGCCATAAATAAATGTAGAAAGGAAAAAGACATGATGGTCACGTCATCGTCCAGTAACAATCGACATTCTTTGTTCCGTTGGGACTGTAGCTTTTGCTCATTTTCGTTGCGCTTGCCTTCTCCTCTTTGGTCTTTCCGTAACCTTGAACCTTCCAAGTTGGAAGGCTGTCGGTTAGCGCTACGGAGATGTGTTGAAGCTAGGTGTCAGGACGTCGAATGTCTCAGTACTCTGTCAGTTTAGTGGCTAGTTATTGCACTTTCTGACTGTATAAAGTATCATGTTACAGTGATGGAGAGTTACTCTTAACTCGTATCCATAATGTCTTTTTCCTTTCTACATTTATATATTGGTGTTTATTGCTATATGAAACTCGGATGTTGAGCCATAAATAAATGTGGAAGAGAAAAAGACATATGGGTACGAGTTAGGAGTAACTCTCCATCACTGTAACATGATACTATATACAGTCAGAAACTGTATATAGTATCATGTTACAGTGATGGAGAGTTACTCTTAACTCGTACCCATATGTCTTTTTCTCTTCCACATTTATTGCTATAATTCATTATTTCCCTTATGAACTTCTTGTTCGCAAATTTTGTTATCCATATTGTATTCTTGTTGATTACTACGTCCAATGTCCGCTTCACTGATTCTGATGATTGCTACAATAAAGCTATTGTCTCCATGCAGCTTATTCCTAAAATACATAATGTCTCCAAAGAATTGTGACATGGAAAAAGTGTGGATATAAGTCCACCAACTATTAAAACCAGATTGCTCATGCCGACTTTCTTGCCAGGGAATTTCTCAGTACTCCTTGTCAGGTTTGTGCTAGATTGTGCACGTCTGACTGTCCAAAATCTGGTTTAGTTGGTGGACTGGATCACGTAACTTGCCCCCGCATTTTCCACGTTACATAATATGTCTTTGGCTCAACACACCCTATACTCGGATGGTGAGCCAAATTAAATTATGTATCAGATAATCTAATGAAGTAGTGGTTGCGACTTCAGCGATGATTTGTAAGAAAGGGTTTGCTCCCCACACCGGAGCTCGCGCTATTCCGCCGACTTTACTTTACTTTAGTCGTGAGTCAGTCAAGTGTCAAGTAATGTCGGCAGAATAGCGCGAGCTCCGGTGTGGGGAGCAAACCCTTTCTTAGATAATCTAATATTAATTTATGTATCTAATATTGACTGAGTATGAGGTCAACATAGAAAATAAAAGCCGAGTAAAAGACCGAGGCGAAGCCGAGGTCTTTTACGAGTTTTTTTTATTTCCTATACCGAGCAAGTACGAAGTCAATATTTGATATATCACGACAAACAGTTCGTATTTCAAATTCCAGAACGATAACCTCATGAATCCCGGTTTTATGATTGCACAACCGTTGCACCACCACCTACTCATGCAGTGACAATGCTGCACTAGGCACCGTTCAACTGCGCAACCCCTAAGCAGTCAAATATAAGCAGTCAATATAGCCCTAGGGAGTGAAATATGCAGGAATATTTGACTGCTTAGGTATAGCGAAAATCAATGGGAGTCAATACTAAGAGAGTGATAACGTGAAATAGGAGAAGGACAAAATGATACTCTCAGTTTTGGGCCATTTTGTCGTACTCGCTGACTGTATATGATCTGGTTACGTTGGTGGACAGTTAGTCATAACTCGTAACATTCTGTCCTTCTCCTATTTCACCACACCATATACGTCTAAAATTCTGTCATAAGTCCTGAGTAGATACGAATAGAAGTGCAGCACTTACTGAGCTTGGTCTTAGATAATGACTGAGTAACTCTAGACCCATCCCTAGTGTTACTGACAGCACGTTGAGTCCCATTTCTATTGGTGCTGACCGCATGACTAGGCCAGTGGGTAGTGGTGCTGATAGGACGTGAACGAAGCTCCTGGCTGCTCGAGGTTTGGTCATGTGTCTGTGTGATCGCCTTCGTTACCAGCCCGCTCGAGGTTTGGTCATGTGTCTTTGTGACCACCTTCGTTGCCAGCCCGCTCGAGGTTTGGTCATGTGTCTGTGTGACCGCCTTCGTTACCAGCCCGGCCATTCCATTGGAATTGCTGGCTGAACTAGCAGTGGTTAGTACGGTGGTTGCAGGGCGCGCCTCTCCAACCACCAAAGAGGGCAATGTTCTTGGACCAATTTTGACTGGTTGAGTTGTTGACATTTATAATTCATCAGAGACACAAAACCAAAACATGTGGTTAAAGTAATATCTAATGTCAACAAAAATTGCAGAACGAAATCATCAACTGATATAATTGATGAGCAACTGCACAGAAAAACAATTCTACGAAGTTGTTTTCTCTTTTTCTTGGGTAGGCGATCTGTTTTGATTGGAGAAAGGGCCAAATAGAACACCTAGCACAAAAAGGCTTGTCAAAGGGGAGAGAATATGTGGGGTTTCCTTCTTTCTGTGTCAGATATACAGGAAATAATTACTAGTGCTGGTGCCTGTATACCTGTAAGTCCTATCAATGCTTGATATTCCCTTCAATCAATGGTTTACATTGATAATTGTGAAAAGAAAACCTTCTGGAACACTTCATTCGTTGCAAATGATTATGATCTAAGTGCACACATAGTTTCATTCATCCCATTATTAAGAGTTGTGCCTCCAAGTTGCCCTTTTTTAATACAAACTGATTGTCAACCATAAAAGGTATTGCAAAGCTCGGATCCATGGGCAGACAAAGTTGATTTTCCAGTACTGTTCATGTATGCTGGTTTCGCTCTTCGTGTTTGGTTTGGTTGGTTTGGTTTTATTATTTCAGTTCGTTGCCTCAACAGTACAAAGTACAAATATCAAGAGAGACGAACGAAAAGAGAAAATAAAACAGAGCAGAGAAGTAGACGCAACTGAAAGGAAAGAAAAACGGAGAGAAACGGAGAAGAAATGTGGACTGGGCGGATTCATGAACCATTACTAGAGAGAAACGGAGAAGGAATGTGGTAGCACTTGCTTCCTTGTTCCTTATATGGGCAATGCACTAATTATCTGAGCTGTGGTTCAGCACCGCACAGCCGGACATCAACGCGTGCACTTGAGCTGATAAAACTTGATATGATGGAAAGTAAGGTACCAATTGACAACTGGCCTTGAGGAATTTATTTTCCAAGGAAAGGTTAATACTGTTTTGGTCCTCCTCGTTGCTGCTCTCGGCGCAGGTGACAAATAGTTTTTGCTCGGGATCGACACTCTCACTTTAGAAAGCTCATCTCTCTTCCTCTCCACTGCCTGGCTATTTTCTAAAGGGTAGTCGATCGTGATGGTCGCCTTCTCTATAGGACTTCGCGTGGGCAGCACGACTGCCTGTGTGGTTCAAATCAGTCGCCGTTCTTGACAAGATCTATTTTGAACGATGACTGCTACAGTACTTGCAAATCTCCACTGGATGCTCCGCTCGTTGAGCTGGAGGTGAGGGAACTGCGATCTCATCTTGGCAAGCGATACCTGAGGTGAGCGATCTCGGCCGTTTGCAAAATGGAAGCAATTCCGAGTAGCCAGTTACTTTCTTGAGCGTCACACTGCTCTTGCTTGCGCAGTGTGACAAGATAACCTATTTTGATGCGGTGTTGTATCAATCAGAATCACCCACCCGCCATTCTCGAAATCCACTCAAAATCTAGGTGGACCTCTAAAGTACTAGTAAACTAACTTACTTACCAAAATCGGGATAAAAATTACTGCCAAGTGAGCATTGGCGACATAAAAACAAAGCTGTAAGATATGCCACAATATTGCTGGCGCGGACCAAGTAACTCCTATATTGGCTCTTCATCACGGACCTTCCTTTGTTGGACTTTGGTTTGCGCATTGGAAAGAGGTTGGGTCTAGGTGTCAGGACATGGAATGTCTCAGCAATCTGCCAGTTGTGTGCTTACACGGCGGTGCAACCTGAAAGGAGCGTGAGTTTAAAGTGACGAGGCCGGACAGCATCGCCCCAGTGTCCTGAAAGAATGTGCTTCGGTGCTCGCACCGGTCCTTGCCAAGATTTTCTCATTGTGCCTCCGGCATGGATACCAACCTCAGGCCTTGGTGCTCACCAATCTTGTTCCTCTGCATAAATGCTGATCTCGCTCACAGCTCAAGAACTACCGCCCCGTGTCTCTCCTTAGTGTGATATCAAAGCTAATGGAGACCATTGTGGACATGCAAACTACGAACTTAATGAATAAAATAATAAATCCTACGGGTCTGCGTACCGGGCAGGTCAAGAACAATGAGTCGTACAACTCCCAGGTCAAGAACCACCTTTCCGCTTTCGTGGGACGCCACCACCCCATGATCAGGCGTCAGATGCGGCTCCTAAGCGGAGGGGAGGATAGATCAGATCCCCCAAACCAAACTACGAACTACCTCGAAGGTAACTCACTGCTTGCAGCGAATCACTTCGGCTTTAAACGGAATCTGGGCACAGCTGATGCTCTTACAGCGCTACACCTATCCTGGTCATCCTCAATTGGACGTGGGGGCACAGAACTTGTACTTGCACTTGACGTTGCTGGAGCCTTCGACAAGGTCTCTCAGGCAGGTGTTTTTTTCACAGAATGCACCTCCTACTGATAGACCATAACAAAGAGGGAGAAGAAGACAAAAGAAAATAATGATCGAGACAACAAAGGAGAAAGACAGAAAATGTACTAGTAGGGGCTCTCTGGGAGCCTGTGCCGGTGAGGCGGGACTAGCAACGCCGACCTAGGGTCTCGGCATTAGCCCTATCCAGCGCACCATGGACGGGATTATGAAACCCATGTAAATGGATAAGTGAGTGGGAGGGAGTTGATTGTGGGTATATGGGGTGTTACAGCGAGTCTGTAGCCCAATGCCGGCGGCTTTGTCGTAGGTGCTGATGCACCTTGCCCTTGAACGACCGGTTGTCATGTACACTCGTGGATTTGGAGCACATTCACGGCGGCCCAGTGCGGGTGTATTTGAATAATAGTTTAGTTGACATCAATATCAATTTCAAATAGTTGTATAGCAGAGTGTCATTGGCTCCTCCATGATCCATCATCAACTCCAGCGACTGCGTGGATGCCTGCAGTTGCACTGAGGGTGTGGCAGAGTACTCTACTACTCCCTGGTTGCAGTCCTAGTGTTGCATACTCTGTTGGACGCATTGCTTGGAGAGAGAAGGAGAGAGTTGGAGATCGTCCGCGATCGGGGCACATGAGTTGGGAGACGGATTGCCTCACCAACTATCCACTCATAACGATGCAGTATCGTTTGCAAGATCTCCAGAACGTACAGTTCATTGGCAAAGAAGAACAATATGAAAACTGAATACCGAATGGCAACCAAACAACCGCAGAACTCTGTGTAGAAGTAGCACACCAAACTCCAAAGCCATCACCATGCAGGTTCCGCCAAAGAGGATCCGCGAAAGCGGAGGTTCCGCTCGCATTTTTTTGTCGTAGCGATATCCAAACTTTCCGCCAAAGCGTAACTTACACCTCCGCCGTTGCCGAGGCAACGGCTGAAGCGTAAGTCAGGCTTTGGCGGGGCCGCCCAAAAAATTGCATGCGTGACCGCGGCCTACGGAGACCATAGGTCTGTGGGGACTGCCCTAGAGAAATATGAATAAATTCTATACTAAAATACTACTCACCAATACAAGGATTGTAGAGAGGAGACCAAATCCCATTATCTCGACAAGTAGTTGTCTGTGACACACTGTTATTTGCTTTATAGCCAGTATCGCATGTCACATGCCAGATGGCTTCGAAGGTCGTGGAGTTTGAACTTGATAGTGTGCCAAAAGGCGGGTTTCCTGGCTGTCCACAATCAATGGCTGTGAACACACCAAACGGAACATCATTCGAATAACTTTTTGCCGGCAGACAGGTATTATGGGTGGCCTTAACCCATGTACTGTCTTGATTTTGTATTCTGTGTTCGTATTTATGGATTCTCAACCGGCCTTAAACTGTGTTCACAACTGGCGCGTGTACGCGTGAAACCACGCGTTTGGGCGTATTTTTGTTGGCTTTTGGGGGCGTTGCATGCAGAAACGTGCCGAAAGGGAAATCTAAACATGTTGTAATTTTCAGCGCATATCAAGCATGTATCAGCGTACATGCCACAGTCACTTTGACTAGCGGGGTCAAAAAAGTAGTAATCGAAGGTGGCGCATGCGCTAGATACGACTCGGACAGCTGTTTTTTTTTTTGAAAACTTGAGCGCGCGTTTGGGCACGCATGAACCGCAAGCGTACCGCGTCCACGCGCCAGTTGGGAACACAGCTTAAGCCTAAATCGAGGGAGTCTCCGTCAACAGCTTATGAAGAAGCAGAAGCTGAGAGAAGAGAAATGAAAATGAAAGATAGAATGATGCGGGGTGGTAGTAATTTAACACATTGCTCTATGACATCGCTACTCTACGTGGAATCATAATGCCATGATACAAAGGCTTTCAAAGTATAGTCCTACATGGAAGCAGCATATTGTCCTAGCTGAGCTGCGATCCACAATTAACTGGAAAACTCTCTGCCCAGCACAACTACAACATGAAATGGATCATGGTCTCCACAAAGTTTATTTTATAACTTAGACCCTTCGTGTTGGAATGCGGTTGGTGCGCGTATTCCAGCAGTGACGGAGCTAAACATAACGTCCTTGAATGCCAGTAACACAGTGTCATTATAGTGCTGCCTTCTGGACGATATCTGACAGCTGATCCTGGGGTGGTGGCGTCCCACGGAAGCGGAAAGATGGTTCTTGACCAGGGAGTTGTATGACTCCTTATTCTTGACCTGCCAGGTACGCGAACCCGTCGATTTTCTTTATTCTTTATTCTGGACGATAAGACTCGTGAGTATCTTGCTTATAATTGTCAGTTTTGGAAAATTATATATAACATGTAAACCGGCCATTCTTTCTTATTTATTTGAAACAATCATTGTGGTTGTAGCAATACAAGAAGCCAGGAAATCCAAGAAATGCTATTGTGTTCAATAGCACCATCAGGTACTTGAAAAATAGCTTTTGGGATTGAACAGCAATGGCCGAGGGTACGGAGGGTCTGCAAATAACTGCCAGTCCGCTCTGGCACATCTTGGATGCGTACTGTAACTGGTCATCAAGTAGCTGGTGGTGTTAGTGGACATAATAGGGTGACTGGCAGTTCCTCGGTCCTTTGCGTTTCCTATAAATTATTACGTGACTCTCCATCCGAAATCTTTTTTATCACTTAGAGTGCAGCAACGCATCATCAAAAACCACTTATACACAGAAACAAAACCATCTCCAGTTAGTGCCACATGTCGGCGACGCAGGCTGCTGTGGTTTGGCCATGTGGTGCGAGAGGGCCCATAATATGCCTCGTTCCAAGCACTGGAGCTATCAATCTACACAAACGACATAAAAAACCCGTGGCCGTCCGCCATTGCGGTGGATAGATACGATTCGGCACGACCTGACGGCAGCGGATCTCTCCGTGGAAAGCGCTCTCCAAGCTGCAGGAGATAGACTAACTTGGCTTGACACGGTTTACAGATGCGTCGACTCTGCTTCTGTCTAACAGGTTCAGGGAAGATGCGAGCTGTGTTTATTATTATTATTATTATTATTATTAGAGTGCAGCACTGCACCCAAATGCCCGACTACTGAATTTCGCTTTTGTGCAGGATTTCTCTTTCACCCTCAGCAAAGGTGACAGAGGACAGCTGTACTTGGAAGAGTGCAAAGAGGTGATTGACCCAATGAGACACAAGAGTATCATAAGTTCATAATACTCATTGTTGATCACTGCCAAATATGGAAGGTATGAGTAATGCATGTGAGTACACTGGGATCAGCAATGCACTGTCCAACACCCTAGACGACCATGCCCATATGGCTGTGAAGGATGTTTACTTTACAGATTTCGGCATTGCGCAATGAGCTTATTGTACGTCAGTGAAAGTGTTGAGAAAATATATAATTTCTTTTCTTTTTTCAACCTGAAACCTTTTTTCTTACTTGTCCACAGACTCCAATGCATTCTGGACTGAATGCGGGTTTGTCAACTGACAACTGATCTATTCAGTTGCTAGTCACAATCTGCGCATGTGCTGCATTCATATTGTTTATTTGTGACGGCGGAAACTATGGATGTTTTGGAACAGTCACCAATCGTCAAAAGTGCAGTTGCGAAGTGGAGCAAAGTGAAATGCAGGTGCGTGATGTCCACAACTCTATCAGTGAATACAGTAAGGCCTGTTACTAGCGACCTCCTCTTGGGGCCAGAGAAAGCAGTCTGCAGTGGCAGGTGATCCTTAGTTCGAGGTTCGCACCACGCCACCGTACATGAATGTGAGACCGTCTGTGCGTGCGTGCCTGGCAAAGTGGTCTGTAGTACCAGGCTGGTCGCTAGTCACGGTGGTCCTTAGCTATACTGAACAATCTACTTACGGATGCACGGTCGGTTTAAAGGTGACCAGGTACCATTCAGCTGACAAGTAGTTTGCTGCGGCACGCTTGTGTTTGCTCGATATCCAACGTAACAAAACACTATCACTCTGGATCCATACGTTTGAGGGTTCCACCCTGAGAGCGACCCACCATGAGGCTTTTCAGGCGTCCCGCATTTAATGGCTGTCAACACAACAACATAAATCCAAACAAGCATAAATACCTGTTGGTCAGTTCAAATTGCTATTCGCATGCAGAGCAAGACTTGCACAAGGAAACGAATGAAGTTGATTGAATTAAATAACACCGCTGGTGCACATTGGGACATACCAATAGAGAGCTTATAATAATGTTGGCCAACTCTGCATAACAGTTCAACCTTTGGTCCGTTCTTGATTTATTTCGATATGTTTAGAAATGGGACTACAAGTTACACTATAATGTCCACTAACACCACCAGCAGCTACTAAGCAATCGGCTCATGCGATAAATTGCACGGCACTGACCAACGTTACTGACATTTGACAACTAACTGGTTAACATCTCTAGCACATCTTGGATGCATTTATCCTTGGTCACCGATTCGAGTCCTTTGTTGCACATCTCTTCCTGATCTGTACGGTAAAATGATCATCAAGAGAAACTGTTGTTCGTTACTGCTGCTTATTGTCCATCTAAATTGTCATACGGAATAGTGGTTGCGACTTTGGTGATGATTTGTAAGAAAGGGCTCCCCACACACCACAGCTCGCGTTTTTCCGTCGACTTGACTTGATACTTGACTGACCCACGACTGCCATCCAGAGAACACGAGAAGTCTATCAAACCTTCGATTCGAGTGCGAGCTCCGGTGCGAGGGGAGCGAACCCTTTGTTATAAATTGTCATAGATGAAGAAAAGTATAAATGCCGCAGACATCACCACGCAACATGACAATTTGTTCAAATTTTGAGATTTTGTTTCCCGAATCGATTTTCAAGTTCCGATCATCAGTGGAAATACGGAACAAAAGTGACCAAGGGAAAAACAAAGGTTAAAAATCCAAAGAAGTGTGACACATGACGCGCAAGCAATACAAAAAGTGAGGGCTAAGATAAAGACTAAGTGTGACAAATGGGCATGAACAGTCCAGAAACAACTCCTGAACACGGGGTGCAAACTCACGAAAATAACGTAAGTGCTACAACATGTTCTTTTTGGTTACACAAATCGGTCTTATGCGTAGGAATACAAACAGCTTCAATGACCTTCAACTGCTGGACATAACGGGCATGACACAGTACAGCGAAGTGGGAATCATCATACACACTCAAACAATCGGGACGAGATACCAAATGCAAGTACACAGCGGACTTCTTACGAATTTCACCCTCATCAGCTCCATTACCTTCCCTGCCACCTGACTCCTCCTCGTCCGGTTTATCACCATCACCACCAGCCGTCTTATCATCATCCACCTCACCGGCATCCGCCTCGTCATCGTCCGCCTCGTCGTCATCTGTATCTTCGTCATCCGACGCATCATCGTCATCCAATGCATCATCACCCAACTCATATTCACCACCAGTCAGTCCTCTGATACCATCCGTGTTCTCCTTCCTACATCTGTCCCTTGCCACTGTCCTTAGCTCATCCACGTCTCGAGATTGTGTTCTGTTTACCTCCTGGCTTCTGTTCTCCTTCGATGCTCCGCATGGGATTTGGCCATTCCTAGCATATTATTTCGATTGAATAATTGGCGGTCGACCTCCGTGGTCTCTGTACCGACAGATCAAGCGTCGGAGGATGCTGCGGTGTCCGCACAACCGGATACTGTGTCACAGAAATGGGATCAATTTCTGTGATTGGCGGTACTGTCGTTGTTGCCGACTCCACCCCAACCCCAGCCACCAACGGCACTGGTGGTGGCTCCGGTGGTGCCAAAGGAAACGGTGGAGAAGGCACATTCGGTTGGCTAAGTGTCCACCACTCTTCCTCTGCACCGTGTGTTCGACTTGCTCTGGCTGTGTTCGTGGTAGAGGGAGCGGGGTTTTGCGTTGTCTTCCCCGCTTAGGCCGCTTCGCTTTTGCTGTGTCTGGCAGCATGTGAAGTGGTAAGCGCTGCTTGATACGTGCGCTCAGGTGTTGAAGGGTCCTACCAACGTACCGGCTATCACAATACCGGCACTCAAATTGGTAGACCAAGTGGCTCAATAGGTGGGATGGTAGGACATCCTTCCTCGCCGTGAACGCACGTATCGTAGTGAACACAGGGATGCATGTACATCCGCCAACGTTCTTCACAGCTGAGACTTTCGGCTCGTGCTTGTTTTGGTTGCGCTTACCTTCCCCTCCTTATGTTATTTCAACAACTTAAAACCTTCCAAGTTGGAAGGCTGTCGGCTCCAAGACTTGCTAGAGCTGATAGCCAGTTAGTTGTAGAGCATGATTACCGATGGTAAGTGTTGTGCCGTGTTATTATTACTTGGTCCGCGTCAGCGATATTGTCGCTTATCTTTCAGCTTTGTTTACATGTCGCCAATGCACACTTGGCAGCCCATTTCATCCCAAGTTTGGTTAGTAAGTTAATTTACTAGTACCTGAAAGGTCTAGTTAGATTTCGAGTGGATATCGAGAGCGACTGGTGGGTGATTTTGATTGATACAGTGCCGCATCAAAGTTGATTATCTTGTTAGCTGTGCAGGAAAGAGCAGCGCAAGTCGCAAGAAAGTAATCGGCTACTCGGAATCAGCTTCATTTTGCTGAACGGCCGAGATCGCTCACCTCAGGGATAGCTTGTCAAGCTGAGATCGCAGCTCCCTTACCTCCAGCTCAACGCTCGGAGTATCCAACGCGTCGTGGAGATTTGCAAGTACTGTACGCGTCGTTGTCATCGTTCAAAATATAATCTTGCAAAGAGCGGCTTCTGATTTGAACCACACAAGCTGTCATGCTGCCCCGCGAAGTCCTATAGAGAAGGCGACCGTCATGATCCCTTTCTCTTTAGAAAATAGCCAGGCAGCGGAGAAGAAGAGAGAAGAGCTTGCAAAAGCAAGAGAGTCGATCCCGAGCAAAATTTTTGTCACCAGCGCTGAGAGCAGCGACGAGGAGGACCGAAAAAAGTGTGAACCCCTCCTTGGACAATAAATTCCTCATAGCTAGTTGTCATTTTTTACCTTATCTTCCATCGTACCAAGTTTTATCACTTCAAGTGCACGCGTTGATGTCCAAAGTCTAAGTTCAAATTGTCGAAAGATAAGCGACAATATTGCTGACGCGGACCAAGTAGAAATCAGAAAATTCATGTGTAAACTAATGTGCTGTGTTATCATATTAATTTTTTTGGACAATTCTGCAGAAACTTCTCAATTGTAATTCCATGTTGTACAAGTGAAGACTAGAAAAGCTTGCTTGGTGACTTGGTCAACGCGAAAAACAGCAAGTATTAAAAAAACCGTGAGTTTGGAAGTCAGAAGACGATGCTGAATGTCCTCTGCTGGGATGACAGCTGCAATGTAACTCAGCGGTTAGAGCATTGCTGGTCTCAAGCGAGGCTAATAATTCTGTAGAACTTTGCTCCTGGTGAAATCATAATCATTCACCGAAGGAACGCTTCTTTTTTTAGAGTGACAGCGACTGTCACCGTAAATTTCTTGCTTGACTACCTAGACGGGATCACGCCTCAGGCGGGCTTGTTTGGGAGGACAATGGGGCGCTTTTCGTTGGCGATTGGGCAACATCCGAAGCGTCTAGCTGTCGGTAAGGTGTCCAACGAGTTGTCCTCTGGCGTACTTGCCGGAAGACACAACTTGTCTTGTTTTCGTAGCTACATATACATATGTTTTATAATGAACAACAACAATACTCACGGGTACACGGTCGCACTATATGTGTCAGACTGCAGACCGGCTGATTATGAGTGTCTTCGAAACCAAGATCACAGGTGACGTTCCCTTCTGGTGAAACAGAAGCTACGTGATCTTCAGCAGCGGTACGAAGGCAATCTGTAATAGAGAGACCGAAAGAGAACGAAAATAGGTCAGCTGCATAGATTTGGTCTCATTAACGTTATGCTAGATTGAAGTTAGATTGATAAAATACAGATTTGCCTGAAACAGAATTTCCTGTTTATCGTGACTATAGTCAACTTTGCGCATAACGACACTCGGCGGGGCATCGGAAAAGCGTCCTACGTCGCGAAGTGTCCTTAACGCTATATCCGCAGTCGCTATTAGTGAAAGTTGACTGTATTTGAAACTCAGAGGTGCAACATAGCTCATGCCCCCCCCCCCCCGCATCCCCCCCCCCGCCCCCTCTCTCTCTCTCTCTCTCTCTCTTTATGTAAACTACAGATCCTTTGCATACAGATTTGAATTTACAACCAAATAGGCGAATGCTCAAAATTTGAGCATTCGCCTATTTAATTTAATCAAAATCTCTAGATGTAGCAGTCCTTACGCTTTCATCATCCAGATAAAAACTCTCTCCTTACTCAATGGGTTTTTAAATGTTTTGACCATTGAATGCATTGGGAATTGTGGTCCTTTATTAAACAGCGCAAGTATGGAAAGCTAAAACAACAACGAAGAATGGGCTCCACATACACACAGAACGGAAAATGGAGCAACAAAATACGAGAACAAATGGCGAGGAGACACTAGAGAGGTTAAGTTTCACGTAAAATTCTTACGTCCGTCAACTTTTACTTCAAAAGTCAAAAAACTCACGTAAAATTTGACGTGTTTTACGTGAGTTGGCTGTCCCGCACGTAAGTTCATGACGTGGGTTTTTGGAAGTTTCGCTTTGTTATCCCGATCGAATTTGTGTGAGTTTCCGGAGTTTTATCGAGTTTTTTGGAAGATTTGATATTTGTGCGAACTAAACCCGAATCCTGCCAGGCAAAATTTCACGTCACGTCGCACGTGTAACTTAACCTCTAAAAATTACACGTAACGTGAGATTTGCACCGCGTTTTGAAAAAGGGCAAAAAAAGTGTAACTTAACCTCTCTAGTAACTTGATACACGCAATCAATAAGACAAACTGAGTCGACATTTATGTATACTTTACTCATGCAACGTAATACGGTGGAGACAATGTGCAACAAAACGATGAAGGTAGGAAGAAATGGTGTAGGGAAAAAGTGGGATTCAAATAAGGTTTCGTACAACACTCATCAGGATTCGTCGTTGCACTAAAGGACACTGAAACAACAATGAACCATTATAGGAAACAGACATCACGCAAGTACGTTACTTGTTCGACATGCATGACTGTGTATTTTATAACAAAAAAATATTATTGAAACCCAGAATCGATTTTCTCGTTCCTATCACCAGCGAGAATGAATACGGAACTGAAGGATATGACCAAAGAAACTGAAGTTAAGTACTGTAAATAGAAAGGTGTTAGAAATAACATCATGATACAAGTGCAATAAAACCACTAGAGGAAACGCAAACAGGTAACACAATTACGTAACCGAAGGTGAGAAGGCACTGAGCAAATTGTCAACCTACGAATACAACCTCAGTGCAACAACGTGCTCTTTCTGCTTACACAAAACAGGCTTATGAATATGTATACAAACTGCCTGAAGGGCCTTCAACTGTTGGACATAACGCGCACGACACAGTGCAGAAAAATGAGAGTCATCATACATACCAAGACAGTCAGGACGAGATAACAAGTGTAGATACACAGCTGACTTCTTACGATCAACATCCCACCTCATCTCGCTCTTTCCCATCCGACTCCTCCTCGTCCATCTCACCGTACTCTTCCTCGTTCCACTCGTCATCCTCACGATCATCATCACTACCATCATCTGCCTCGTCCTCTGTCTCTTCACCAACCGTTTCGTCATTCATTTCCTCTTCCATCCTCTGATCATCTGTCCCATCCTCCATTTTTGTACAGACCACTTGTCTCCCATTTGCTAGCTGCTCTTCCCGTGAGCGGAGTTGTTCCTCCAGATCCACTTCACTCACTGACTCATAATACTGCTCGACCCTCCTCCTGTTTGTACTGTCCGCACGGTCCTTGGCCAATTTCTGGCATAAATCTCTGTGGAGTAGTGTGTTGTTGCCCTCATTGGTCTCTGGATTGATGTGGGCGCCGTGGCAATTTGTGTGAGAGTTGGTAATGCCAGCGCGGGTGTAGGTGGGTCCACCCCAGCCCCCGCCACAAGAAGAGCCGGAGGCGGTTCTGGTGGTGGCAAGGGCAACGGTGGTGCTGCTGGAGTTGGCAACTTGGGCGGCCTAGCTCTCCCACATCGCACACCATTTTGTGTTGGCTCAGTCTGTACCATTGCCACAGGGGGTGGATTCTTGCGCGGTCGGCCACGCTTCGGCCGCTTGGATTTAGCTGCATCCGGCAGAATAATAATAATTATTATTATTTGAGGGATTCCCCAAAGGCCGAAGCCTAAATCAAGGGGGTCTCTGAGTGTAAATATACGTGTACAATACGTGGTCACTAGGGTACAATTCTTCAAGTAAGAAATTATTTAGATAAAAAAAGATTAATTTGAAGAGGTTAATGAGTAGAAGCAAGCGAAAAAGGGTACTGGTAAAGAAGGGGGTAATCAGGAAGTAGGAAAACCTCGAGGATGGAATCTGTACCTGTGGAAATGGGACTTAACGTGCCGGCTAAATACACCACGGGTTTCAGATAACCTAATCTCGGTAGGCAGGGAGTTCCACGTGGTGATCATGGAATGTAGTAGAGTGGATCGGAAACAGGGACCAGTGTGAGTGGGCAGGAGGTAAAAGTGAGGACGTCGTGCACTCTTGAATAGAACTATGTTGAAATTATTGAGGGTTTCCGGGTATTGGCGGGTTAAATGGTAAAACAGTTTGAGGCAATGTATATGCCACCGCCACGCAAGACTTTCCCATTCAGCAGCTTCAAACACTTTCTCCATGCCATGAGGAATGGGCACTTTCCGACGGTGTAAATACTGCCTGCCCACGCGTGCTTGCAATCGTTCCAAAGTGTCAATACTTCCTGCGGTCAGTTTGTTTTTCCACAGAGGTGAAGCATACTCGATGGAGGGACGGACGTATCCTTTGTAGAGGCGGGCAATGAGAGCAGGAGTCAGATTGGGTGACATGTAGGTTAGCAGAACAGCGCGACGACGAAAGTTGGAGGTGACACTATTAATGTGGGTCTGGAAAGACAGGCGGGGATACAGGGTGATTCCTAGATGCTGGTGGGTAGTTGAGGGACATAGGTCTGCAGCATCCACATGCAGTGCTGGGGCAGGAGTCTGGGCGGGGTCATGTTTGTCGAATACAACACTCATGGATTTAGCGGCATTAAACCTGCCAGCAAATGTAGCAGCCCAGTTTATCACCATGTTCACAGCTGACTGGAGCTGTTGAGGTGCTGCTGCTGGCGGTCGGGATAACCCCAGCGCAGTATCATCAGCATAGAGGTATGTTTCCGTACTGTTGCCATCAGGGATTGATCTCGGGAGGGTGTAAATGTATAGGAGAAATAGGATGGGGCCAAGGTGGGATCCTTGAGGAACTCCCGCCGAGATAGGGGCGAGGGGAAAAGGTCTTCGCCAGCTTTGACCTGTAACTGGCGAGCGCCAAGGTAACCTGCAAACCAAGTAGTAGTCATTGGGTTGCATAGTGGTTGTAGAAGGGCCAGAAGGGGAGAATGCGGGACACGATCAAATGCCTTGGCATAATCCAGGAAGACCACATCATACACCCGGCTGCTGTCCATGCTTTTGGCGGCGCTAGCCATTAGATGTATCAGTTGGTCAACTGTGCTCGCAGCGGTACATGCTGTTTGATACGTGCGGTCAGGTGTTGAAGGGTCCTACCAACGTACCGGCTACCACAATTCCGGCACTCAAATTGGTAAACCAAATGGCTCAAAAGATGGGAATGGTAGGACGTCCTTCCTCACCATGAACGCACATATCGTCGTGGATACAGGAATGAAGTGTGCTGCGAAGTATTTTTTCATTACTAGCGTCTTGACTACGCGGCACATGGTCAGCAATGTGTTTCCTTTCCAAGGCAAACAAAGATAAATTGGGCATCGAGCAGGACCAACGCTCACTTCTTTCGATTTGTATGCTATTTTCATTAGTTTAGTGAGTACATCGGCAGGATATCCATTCTCCCGGGAATCCAGTCATCGCGATTCCAGCAATCAGGAGAAGATGCATTCACAAAGTTTTGTTGTCGCACCATCTGACTGTATATTATCTCGTTACCTTGGTTACCTTGGTTACCTTGGTTACCTTGGTGGACTGTTAGTCATAACTAGTAACTTATGGGTTATTTTCTTTTTACCAATACATTTACACCGCATTTTGGATTTGTCATACATTCTCCATGAAATTATGTTAATTTTCTTACCGAACTCGCAAACGGTATACACCCGGTCCTTCATCAAGTGACTGTGACCTGCCGTTGTCTTTACCACGCCTTTGTTATGAGCATTCATCAATGCGATATGCTCCGCTGTGAGGAGGCCAGACGTGCATCCAGCATGGTGTGCATCCTCGGTTAGCAGGCGTCCATTATTCAACTCGCACATTTCTTTAGCTTGAGTCCACGAGTAGAAACTCGAGATGGCGGAGCGCTTCAGGATCGTTGCAGTCTGAGAGCAGTATCTATGGCCGATCAGTGCAATACCTGGGAACAGACATATGAACATATGCAGGTCATAAAAAGATGAAGGTGGTGATACAAGAAAGGGAGGAAGAGGGAAATACAATCATGAACAAGGCACACAGAGAAGACGGAAACAAATCAATGAGGGAGTACTACAAGTAACAAATTTGAATTTGATGAATTTTTCAGGAAAATAATGCAACGGATCCAGATTCCAGGGTTGAGGGAATGTTGACAGATATGCGTCTTTGAGATCTTAGGAGAGTGTAAGAGAGTTTAAGATATCGTTTGTAATTGCTTTCCTAACCCTAGAAGTACCGGAGGCATCATAATTATGATGCATTTGCGAATTTCTAAATGGGATTGCTGTTATATGGGGGCTTAGAATCTCCCCAAATTTTGTGACTTTTATTTACTTATATTTTGTATTTTGTTAATGGCCGTGGGTTGTGTTTTCAAAAATGTAGTACAGTTCCGAAATGCCAGGGGGTGCTACCTAGAACGACCGCGCGGCATCACATGACTCCACATAAAATAGGCATCAATAAAAGGGCGAATTTGGCTTAGAACTTCATGTCGTTATGGTCAATATCGTAATCCCGAATCCTGCCGAAACAGACAAATTTGTTTGTCTTAAGTTTGGAAAGTTATTCACTATGTCATCTGCAGCATAGAACGATATGAAGTGCCAGGGCAGTTATAATATTCTAGGAACGTCCTTTCTGTTCACATTGGTCTGGCGAAAGCCATGCTCAGTAGGCGCAGTGTCGCTGCCGATAAAGCATTTCATTTGATTTTGAAAATATTTGCGAGGAGAGTGCCTGGAGCATTGTGCACGAGCAATGAGAAGTGACCGAACACAGAGACACATAGTTATATGCTCCAGATGAAGATGAGTGAATACTAATTGGTCCGGCTTCTCGACCAGTCTGATACAGGACCGGAGTCGAGGGAGCAAGGGGATAATGGTGGTGATAAAGCTACGGAGCCATACACATAACAGAGCATCAATCTCCAAAACTCGGGCAGGATTTCCTTCATGAAGCTGGGTTCCTTGGCAAAGTTGGTAGATAGAGGAAAATGTGTTGCACCAAGCAAGCGCGAAAGCGTGCAACCGGTTGTTGCTTCCGAAGTTTGCGGGCTTTTCCGAGATATTCACTACTTTGAAGATGGGGCAGATGCATTATTTGCATTTATTGACCAGAATATGATCCATGTCATGATCAGGGGCACAAGGTAGAAGGGAAAACAAAAAAATTGGAGAGGACTCTACTTTGAGTGAAGGCAATCTCATGGCATTGGTTTCGCAAATTTACGCAAGAGGCGTCCTCTGTACCCGCAATAATCTGCTGACGGCCCTTCGGCTGGATAGGAATGGACGCCATATAATCAAGTAAAATCCCTAAAAATAGTCTTCAGGAACTACTCTGCTACTTGAGGTTTGATCACGAAGATGGTCTCCGCGCACGACGTCGAACGGAAATTATTCGTTTGCTATGAGTCGCGACACCATGTTCTCCTTTCGCTCGTAAAATTATCACAGCAGTCAAAGAATGACCAACCTAGCTGAGAAAAATCCAGCAAGTTTGCCCAGCAGCAGCCATTTCCGGGCTAATAGACTGAAATGTAAAGTTTTCAGGATGAGCCTGGCAAGCAAATGGTCTTTTATTTTTCTGTAAACTGCCGAGAGGTCGCCCTTTCGCTGCGCGCAATGCCAGCTGCTGGTCTCCAAGATAGTGCACCTGTCATTGATTCTTCCTTTTAAAAGGTACCTTTTACACCAAGGACTTCTGTTTCTACATATATTGCCGATAATCATTCCAAGCAGGTATGTTTAAGTCCAGTGGAGTCAGATGATGCCTCCGGTAATTCTAGGATAGTTGAAATATTTGTAGTTCTAGGGTTAAATGCAGAAGGAATTGTGATGGAGAGGTCATCAGGCGGCAGGCATTTCCAGTACACACTACCAATGAACTGAACAGTGGATCGACCGGAAGGACCCAACAAAAACAGGACACAAAGCAGACGTGAAGCCTGACCACGCATGGCACGACCATTGACTAAATCAAAGAAAGTGCAGAAAAGACTACTGATCATTTCAGCACCAAGACATCTGTGTACAAAAATTATAATTTTTGCTGATATATCTGAGTAAGAGTAAGAAGATCGAGTTGACAGAGAAGAGGGGATGATGGGGTGGTAGAAGGCACCTGGAAAACGGCTCGAGCTCCGGATTTGCAAATCTTGACCATGCGATCCAACAACTGCACTGTGAGGCAAGGGTAGAAAGCCGTAGACGAATAGCAGAGATGGCTGCTGATCATGCTAATGAACCACGACCGTCTGGCTGATAAACTTAGAGCACGACCATGGCGCCAGAGCTGACCAATGGTTTGGGCACTTCGCTTAGTCACGTTGTCCACATGCTGCCTCCATGACAGTTCCCAATCAATGACCACCCCAAGGTTTTTGGCCGTAGGGGTAAACTTGAGTGCGTCCTGACCACAGAATACATCAGAAATGGCAACTCCACGGGGCTGGATGACCATGACTTGCGTCTTCTTCGCATTGAGCAACAGCCCAATTTCAGCAAGCCACCGTGATACAGAAATGGCAGCTACACTAAGCTGTCGGCACACAGTGTTGAGATGGCTGTCAGAGAACTCTAATATGATGTGATCAGCAAACTCTTGGTGGGTGACTTGTTCAGGCAGGATGGCATCTAAGTGGCGCGTGTATAGAACAAACAGCAAGGGACCAAGTACACTGCCCTGTGGCACACCACGGGAACAGTGCACTGACGAGGAGACCGAGTTTGCAATTCGAACTTGTTTACTTCTTTCAGTCAGATAGCTACACAACCACCTTGAGCAACACCGACAGTGGCATTAACACTACCATTGCCAACTCAAAAAGACCCACCTTGCGCATCAGCAGCTCCCACACCATCACAAACAATGCCATCGACAGCAACCACAACTAATCCACCATCCAAGCCCACTATTGAAAGACCAAGACGATCAAATGCCAACCACAACAGAAGCTACGCACTCAACGGACAAAGGTGTAAGGAGGGGCGTGACAGCAGGGTGATGTCCGAGTCCCGTTCAATGGACAAAGTCAGGCGGGATAACAGAGAGAGCGCAGAGGAAGCGGATGATGGGACGGACGGTGAAGGGAGCAATGCGTCGGAGAGCGACGATTGTAGTGATCGTGAGAGTGCCGGTGAGAATGTAAGTGTTGTGCCTAGGTTTCGGGGTAGCAAGTCTTCAGTGTACAATCATCTGTTGGCTAGTCCTAATTGTTGCAATTCGTATTCCGACTCTTCTTTTACTGTATTGTGCCGTGGTCGTCATGGTTATGGACTACAGTCAAAAGTGTTGGAAGCCATCTGTCAGCGCCTGTATTAGCCTAATTTGTGTGTACAGAAAGATAGTATAATTGCGTTGAAATTGTTCAACTAACATGTCATGTTTGGTGCGGCCAAGCTTGGCCGTTAATGTTCTAGGTGTAATGTACTAAAAGCAACAGCAGTGAAATTTACAAGTGTGAATTTCAACGATCAAAACGAGAAATGAACAAAGGAGAAAGGAAGGAAAGACAACGTGATAACACATAACAGCAGTACATTACACCTTGAACATTAACGGCCAAGGTGGGCCGCACTAAACACGACACGTTACTTGAACAATTTCAACCCAATTATACTATCTTTCTGTACACACAAATTAGGGTTATACAGACGCTAGTCCTGATTGTTGCAATTTGTTTTCCGACTCTTCGTTCGCTGTATTGTGCCGTGGTCGTCATGGTTATGGACTACCGAAGTGTTGGAAGCTATCTATCAGCATCGGTATAAACCTAATTTATGTGTACAGAAAGATAGTATAATTGGGTTGAAATTGTTCAAGTAACGTGTCGTGTTTAGTGCGGCCAAGCTTGGCCGTTAATGTTCTAGGTGTAATGTATTGCTGTTATGTGTTATCACGTTGTCTTTCCTTCCTTTCTCCTTTGTCCATTTCTTGCTTTGATTGTTAAAATTCACACTTGTAAATTTCACTGCTGTTGCTCTTAGCGTTATTTCTCTTACTTAGATTTTCTGAAATGTACTGCTGTTATTTGTTATCACTTTGTCCTTCCTTCTTTCTTTCTCTTCTTTGTTCATTTTTTGGGTTGCAAGTTTAGTGTTAGTACACACTCTTCTTTGTTCATTTTTTGGGTTGCAAGTTTAGTGTTAGTACACACATTCGTTATTGCTCTCACTTTCATTGTTAAAATTGACACTTGTAAATTTCACTGCTGTTGTTCTTAGTGTTATTTCTCTAACTTCGATTTTCTATAATAGTTCAATTTTGTTTTCAGTGTCCTTTAGTACAATGAAGATTCCTGATGAGTGTTGTACGAAAACTTGTTTGAATCCTTATTTTCTCTACACCATTTCTTCACATTTTCATCGTTTTATTGCACATTGTCTCCACACTTTTACATTACATGAATAAAGTGTACACAAATGTCGATCCAGCTTGTATTAATGACTGCGGTTTTTGGTAGATTTTGAATGTGGTCATCGATGGGTGCGAGGGCACAGCGGCTGCTGGAAAAGCGTGCTGGCGCAGAGTGCTGTTCATTATTTTTCTTCTTGCCAGACAGAAAGTTGCCCAGATAGAAAGTTTAATATTTTTCTTCTTGTGCCGTAAGCCTGCACAACCCGCATTTCGTTGTGTGTGCAGTGGTGGATGATGTGCATGAGCAAAATACACAGAGACCAGCATCATGGCACAAAATCCCTTTTTTCATCCTCCTGTAGGAACTTGCTCTGCCTTTCGGTATTGAGCACCCTCTTGGACAGCCTGGAACCTCTCTGTTTTCTCTACAACTATAAGCTGGAGATAGCAGAAGGTTAGGGTGCCAGTTTCCAATGAACGGACTATACAGTCAACTTCGCTAATAACGACTGCGGATATAACGACAATTCGCGAATAACGACAGAATTTCCATGCCCAGAGTAAAGTCCCTTCCAACTGTGATACATAATAATGAGACTTCGGGTATAACGACACTTCGCGAATAAGGACACTTTTTGATGCCCCGCCGAGTGTCGTTATAAGCAAAGTTGACTGTAGTTGATTAGGGGGCGCTATGTGACTGTGAACAGCAGTGACTCCTCGTTCTTGCACCTTGTTTCAGTTACGCGTGACAGAGTACAGAAAAAGATGAGAGTCATCATACACACAATACAGTCTTAGGGTGCGCTCTTATATTCTCTAGCTTCTAGGAGAAGAAGAAAAGAGAAGTTGAAGAAACTGGGATTATTCCAGAACGGGTCTCGAAGAATTAAGAGATATTTTGCACATTTTTTAAGAACTCTGGACAATTTCAACTGTACGTGGTGTAGCCAAGGACTGTTCCTGTGTTGCGAGTTGGGTATACTGAAAATATTTTGCACATGTCAAGCAAAATGAAGCACTGAAGGGGCCGCGATCTTGAATGATGAATGTAGTAATGCACGTGTGCGTATGCGAAAAGGGAAATGCGTACACTCATGATCAACATGTGGCTTTTAGTTGTAGTGCGCATGCGCTGATCCCAAACCGCGGGAATCTCCAAGCTTCAACCACCTCTGAAGCTTGGAGAGCTTGGAGGGCTTTGGAGAGCCTCCTAAAAATCGGAGAGGATATAAGAGCAGCTCTTGAACTCTTCCGAGAGGATTTATGAGAACACACTCTTAGTGAGCAGTTTTATCCCAGTCTTATCCCGCATCTTTAAAGGCTTTTACTGCACTATTGCACAAGTGATACTCACGGATACATGGCATTTGTAGAGGTGACCATTGACCATTGCGTTGACAAACGGTTGTCTGTGGCACGCTGGCATCCATGTGATATCCAAGATTGCATGTCACGTTCCATAAGGCATTCGTTATAGTAGAGGATCCCACGAGCTCTGAAAAGTGAGGGTTTCGTGGCACCTGGCAATTGGCTGTACATAGCATAGACAGTATACATTATAGACGCAAACAGTCAAATATTTGAACACGCATACTTGCAAGTACTGAGAGCGGAGTCCTCCGGTTCGATAGTGTGCTCAACTTAAGATTGCCATATGGCATGAAACTTTAAGGTACGACAATCAAAGCGCACGGTTTTCCGTGACTCGTGTACTTGCAAGTACTGTAAATTTGTATGCTTGAGCTGCTATTTTTGAAACGTAACTTGCAAGTATAGCAAAAATTAAGAACATAAAAGTAGAGATTTTAGAGGTACTGTATGGCACGTTATTTTCGGTGTAATTTAAATTGCCCTGGAGTATGCATTGTATGTGCAGGGAACGTTGGTCACCTATTAAGAGAGCATGTCTGAGAATACCAAAGTATGTGTGCAAGTGGATCTCTCCGATTTCGCTCAAAATTTGCAGGTAGGTTCCCTTTGGGGTGTGGATCGATTATGCAAAGCCCTTGAAAAAGTTTCTGAAGGGAACCTTGAAATTTGCATACCCCTCAAAAATGGCCGAAATATCACATTATTTATGGGTCTAGAAACGAGTCACGCCACAGCGTATACGAACAAGCTATGAACAAAACTCCATCAAGCCAACATTGCCTCACCTTAGAAGAGTTCCTGGAGCAGTACCGCTTAGCCACGCCAGCATCCCAGAAGACGAGGTCCATCACCCCCTGACGCCACAAATGATTGTCTTGAAAATAGCCAATTTACAAGCGCTGGCAAAACAGCCAGCTACATCCTCAATTGGCCAGAACTATACACCGGCAGATAGTAGAACACCTCTTCTAGCGCTGAGGACATGTCCCCCATCTTCCTTTTGGGGTTTTCTTGAAATAAACTTTTTTGAATTTTTCCACTCGACCATGCTGAAATACGGCCAAAGTCATACCTGCGTAGGAAAGCTCGCTACTCCGCGACGTCTCCTCAGCAATTTCTACTCCAACACTACTCCCAAGGCCGCAGAACAAAGTGTAGTGTTGACTCTGACAAGGAAAAGCAGCGGTGATCACTTGTCACTCCAAACGACAAGCTTCTCCTTGCGCCACCAATAATTTTTTGTGCGACTGTTGATGCAAAAGTGACTGAAGGCCTGAGCGCAGTTTTTGAATTTTATTGCAAGATGCACGGTGAGATCGCGTGCTCTGTGACGTAGGATGACGCTTCCTGCATCACGTTACGCGGCCATCGATCGCGAATGTGCCTGGAACGCTACTCGGAACAGACCATGATGGCAGAGGTAAGATGAGCTTCATTTCCTGCTTGAACTGCTGAGAACCCCCACAAACTGTCCTAGGAGTGTTGCAATGGCAGCAAGCCGTTGGAATATGCCCCGTACAGCATGGAGAGTTATTCGTCTTTCACACTTTCCTTCTGCAGTCCCGAACATAGTCCAACAGTAAAAGACTAAGTCCCTTGCTTTCATGTCGATGCTCGACAAAAGCGACTAGCTCGGTCCCTTTGTCTACTGGCACGCGAGCAGCACTGGCTGCACGCACTTGTCGCGTGAACTGCATGAGAGATTTCTTACGTCATAAAGAATGTGATTTCATCATCATTTCACTGGTCTTCGACCTACATGGTCAGGGAAAGTCCCGGTTCGTAGGCCTACAACACGGTCAGCGTGTTCTTGAGCGCCGTAACAACACAAGTGTGATCACTTCCAGACCAACGGGCGTTCAAGGCGAGTAACAAGCGCACTTGACAAAGGTGACTCTGAAATTGCGTGAGCCGTGGGCCACGCGACTTGGCATTCTTGCGTCTCAAGGCACGTGATTTCACCGTGCATCTTGCAATAAAATTCAAAAACTGCGCTCAGGCCTTCAGTCACTTTTGCAGCAACAGTCGCACAAAAAATTATTGGTGGCGCAAGGAGAAGCTTGTCGTTTGGAGTGACAAGTGATCACCGCTGCTTTTCCTTGTCAGAGTCAACACTACACGTTGTTCTGCGGCCTTGGGAGTAGTGTTGGAGTAGAAATTGCTGAGGAGACGTCGCGGAGTGGCGAGCTTTCCTGCGCAGGTATGACTTTGGCCGTATTTCAGCATGGTCGAGTGGAAAAATTCAAAAAAGTTTATTTCAAGAAAACCCCAAAAGGAAGATGGGGGACATGTCCTCAGCGCTAGAAGAGGTGTTCTACTATCTGCCGGTGAATAGTTCTGGCCAATTGAGGACGTAGCTGGCTGTTTTGCCAGCACTTGTAAATTGGCTATTTTCAAGACGATCATTTGTGGCGTCAGGGGGTGATGGACCTCGTCTTCTGGGATGCTGGCGTGGCTAAGCGGTACTGCTCCAGGAACTCTTCTAAGGTGAGGCAATGTTGGCTTGATGGAGTTTTGTTCATAGCTTGTTCGTATACGCTGTGGCGTGACTCGTTTCTAGACCCATAAATAATGTGATATTTCGGCCATTTTTGAGGGGTATGCAAATTTCAAGGTTCCCTTCAGAAACTTTTTCAAGGGCTTTGCATAATCGATCCACACCCCAAAGGGAACCTACCTGCAAATTTTGAGCGAAATCAGAGAGATCCACTTGCACACATACTTTGGTATTCTCAGACATGCTCTCTTAATACACTTAAAATTACATGTTATACAATATTTGTAAATGACGATGGCAGCCCTTACGTGGGAGTTTCTAGGGGTGAAACAATTATACCGAATACTCGAGTACTCGCTCGTTTTTTTCAAAAATGATCATACTTGGAATAAATCAGAGACTCGTTCATACGTGGGACATGCATTTACCACAGAAGTCTACAGTTTCACAGGAGCAGTCAGCAAATATTACTGTGCAGACAGTGTGGTGAACATTTGTTCACGAGTAGATATAGCCCAAATGACCCACCAACCAATATACACGAGAAAAATGACTGCTGATCGGTTCAACCTGGGTTGTATCCTGTGCAAGGCCCTTGGTGTGCAATTTTTTAGGAGATGAAGAATACTCGAATACTCGAATATTCGATCGAAGAATATCTATGATCAGAGTACTCAAACTCGGGATCTCAGTGCCAAATTTCACCCCTACGTAGAACACACATTTCCTGCATGCTTGACACTTGAATGATTCAGTACAACCGCACGTAGCACACAAGGAGCCTGTCGTATTCTGCAAAACTACTTGCTTTCAAGTCAAAAAATGTCCAAAAAAACACAGATGTATGGGGTAGTGATACTCACGGATACATGGCATTTGTAGCTGTGTCCATGTGGCATTGCGCTGACAATAGGTTGTGTGCGCCACGCTGCTATCTATTTTATATCCACTGTTGCACGTCACGCTCCACGCGGCATTCACTCCTGTAGAGGATCCCGATAGCACTCCAAACGGAGGGTTTTGCGGTAGCGGACAATCGGCTGTTAAAAGCATAGGTGGTAGGCAATATAAATTCAAACAGGCAAAATGTACTTTCAATCATTATTACAGAGATACTTTGAAACTCGTGTATTGAGCCAATAATAAAAGTAGAAATGGACAAACTTTCTGACTGTGTAAAGTATCTAGTTACAGTGGTAGAGAGTTGCTCTAAACTCGTTTCCATATGTCTTTTTTCGTTTCTACAGAGATACTTCGTTGCCATTTTTAAACATAACTTGCAAGTATAGCAAACGTAACGAATACATGAGTAGTGACTTCATTGGTATTTTGTGAATGAAGTTGGTTGATCCGTGGTGGAATGCACGCTTACTGCCAAACTTGACCATTGACAGAATCTCTATAGCCACTCGGAGCACACACGCGTGCACTGCTGCTACGGGCAAGACCAGTAGTGTGCGTGACGCGGGAAGTGACCGAGTTGAGAGGGGTGAGGAGAACAGAAACTCCGAGACTATTAGTTTATGTTGTGCGTGTTTTCCCTAACAGCATCTCGTTATATAAGTGGTCTTGGTAAAACACACACACACACACACACACACACACACACACACCAAGGTGCCTGTCGCGTGTTTCCCTCAGCAAACTCCCTCCTTAAGGTAGGTCGATAGGAAATCAAAAACTCGTCTTCTGCGCATCTTTCTGCGCAGGTCACCCCGCGCGCGGCCTGGCCCGAGATCCGCATGCATGTGCTGCACTAGCTGGCCATGCATGCATGCGCTGCACTAGCTGGCCATGCGTGGATGCGCTGCACTAGCTGGCCATGCATGCAGTGGACAGTGTAGACAGAGTAAATCTACGACTGGCTGCATGCAGCATGCACTACTTGTAGCTGGCCGTGTTGTTGACTGAGATCGTTTTTTTGGTTTTGTTTTATCCACCTGGATGCACACGCAGCAGATCGTGCCGGAGCATTTCCGTCAGGTCCATTCTCTTTTCATACTCGCGTAAGATAAGTTCGTGTCGTGACATGTGAAGACCGGGCTGCATATCCATGCCGCTTCAGGTGGAGCGCAGTCGATCTGTGAAGCACATGGGATCGTAGGGGAAGCCGAAGAACTGGTTGGCGAATCTCCAACGAGGCAACCCGGCACTGGTAAGTGCCCGTCTTGAAATTTTTGTTTGTTTTCATCTGGGACTGTTGAGGTGCATCGCGATGCCTGATGTTTTCATGCGTCTCCCAGCCGACGTCGTCTTCTCCTTCTGCTACTGCATCAGCTGCCTGTGGGAGTTCTGTTTTCCAGCAGACAGGGGACCCGGTTTTTTTTCTGCTCGTGACGAGTATTGGAGAGTATGGCGATGAAACGCAGGGTGAAACAGGTACCACTGGTGACAAAGAGTGTGAGGCCGGCGATGATTCAGCTAAAAAAGAGGTAAACGTTGTCGTGTTTGTATCGGCGACTCTTCAGATACCGTATTATCTCTAATATAAGCACGGTCCTTTATTTTTTCAATGTACCTCCGCCCCGTGCTATTATTGGAGACGTTCCTTTATTGGAGACTGTTCCATTATTATTTCAACCTCATTTCAGAGGCATGTTGCCGTGCCAAATTCATGTGAAACACACACATTTCAGGGTTTTTACGCCGGTAAAGATAATGAATTTACACAGTGTGGGACTGAGCACTTTATTTTTTAATGCCACCCCAAGGTGTTCTATTATTGGAGACGTTCTATTATTGGAGACTGTGCTTATATTAGAGATAATACGGTAAGAGGAAAATACTCTACTCTGAGATACTCCAGTCCAAGATATTTGAACAGTCGATGACGGTTCATGTCAGCATAATGACAGGCGTCTAGATATCGTCAGTGGTTGAAGTTTTTAGACTCAATTCTACAACTGTGCACACAAATGCGCACTCGCACACACGCACATGCTTGCATGCATGCGCACATACGCACACACACACGCACACGAGTGAAGGCACCATTGCCTGTTTGTTTTAACGACTATAAATAAAAGCGCAACAACAACTGCTACGTGTGCACATGCACAAGCATGCATGCACACACAAACACATACACACACACACACACACACATGCGTGCATGCACGCGCACACACATGCGCATGCACACACACACAACCACTCACATATGCCAGGGAATAATTTAACCAGTATCGCATCGCAGTTTGCCACGCAATTCTTCTGAGGTGCGAAGCAACTTAAGATATGTGGCGCAGAAAACTGCGATGCATATTGATTTTCAACTGTACCCTATGATGCACAGTGTACATGCCAGGTGTATCTCTTAGAGATAAAATAGATGCACGTCGCTGAGCTATGCATCGTGGCACCAAGCTAGGTTTGTAACTAAGGTGTTACCGTGTACTTGTGGTCTCAGCGTGCAACTCTTTCAATGACAGTGTTGTCAAGTGTCGAAAAAAATTGCTATGCAGCATTTTCGAATTGCTATTCAAGTTTGATGTTGTGTAGCAAAATTGCTATGAAAGCGATTGAAAGTAAATTATTTCCTGTATGCGCATGTGCACACGCATGCGAGTGCCCCCCCCCCCCCCACACACACACACACTCGCATATCTTCACGAATTTGTGGGAGCCAGACCATTGGTTGGATGAGAAGTCGTTGGTGCCTGTTTATGTGAAGAAGTAAAATACAATACTACTTGGAAATTTGCCTTCGTTTGAAAACAAACTGGATGTCGGAAACTGGGTGATGCACGGAATAAAGAATTCGAAGAGCGTTAGCAAATAAAGCAACGGTGACAAATCCAGTCAAGTAAATAGGAAATTTATTGGGAAAATCAAGTCAAATAGATAGGAAAATCCAAATAGAAAAGAAAAGAATCAAATCAACTAGGGAATACCAAAACAAACAGCAAACCAGCATCCGCAAACACCATCCAAGCAGCACCGTTTACCCAACTCATCCAACAATCCAGGCGGGCTGCCGGAGATTTTCTGGGGTCTTTTGGAAAGTAACATGAATCTTGTAAAGTGATCTCTTCTTATCTTTGCTTGCTGACCTGAGATTGAGTTTCTTTATATCTGTCTCTTTATCGATCTTTAGAATCAACTCGTAAAAACTCCAAGTCAATCTCCCATTGACACAAACCTCGTTTATTCAACATAATCATATCCTATCCAATAAAAACAGTTCATAAAAACAGTTCATAAAACTGCTTTTTAGGATCGGACCCAGTCCGCATAACCAAGGGAGCTAACAACTAAGCTGTTGGAATATGCAAGAATGGGCCTTCCACATAAGGTCTAACAAGGAGCAGTGGCTATAGTTATGAAATGAACACCGGTAACCATGGAGACAGACCACACTCTCATTATAGATACTGGTTGTAAATAGACCGAATAAGGAAAATGATCTGATAGCCTATGAAGAGTAAAAGAAATTGAACCAGTGACAACAAATACTCGTCCAGCACACGAGTTGTCATAGCAACACAAATAACAGCTGTCCACTAATTTTGTTGTTGGAGATTGAGTAGGACCTTTTACTGGTTGATTCTAAATACAATAAATGCTCCCGCATTGGGTTTATGACCAATAAAAACTAATTATAAAAACCTCGGGGGGCCTCTGTTTTTATAATAGTTTTTATTGGTCATAAACCCTTGGCCTCCTCATTTATGGTATACATAATTCATCCATCTATCACTCCCCGCGAACTGATTTTATACATCATAGTCGGTAGTGTCTGTGTTTTCACTTAGCTGCTGAACTGTTTTTCTTCTTCTTTTGTACATCATTCTGTATCCAATCCATTGTTCATGCTTGGTGAACAGCTCCCCATGACAAGCTGTTCGATCAGTACCAACTTGATAACCCACGGAAATTGTAAATCTTTATCAAGTTTGCATGAAAAACAGTGTCTAGGAGGTAAAATACACATGTCCGAAACTGTGAAAATAGTCCATATGAGCAACATTTTGCCCAATTACCCCCCCCCCCCCCAAACTTTTTGTTTTTCCAGCTCAGTAAGGGTCTGACTTGATCATAGAGAAGAAAAACAAAAACGTCTTCGGACAAATTTCGAAATTCACTCCTTTTTGTACATGTCTGCTCTCGATATAACAACTCTCACTTGTACATACACTTCGATAGTACGTAACAAAATCAAATCCCGCGCCGAAACAGCATCACTCCCATACAAATTTTGTTTCAGCTCAGTAAGGGTCTGACTTGATCATAAAGAAGAAAAACATGAACATCTTCGGGCCAATTTTAAAATTTCGTCCACTTTGTAACAAAATGTGACGTAAATATCGCAACCCGCAAAAACTTTTGAAACTGAATAGTTCAATTCAAGGCTAGTAGAACTTCCCCAATGCTCCAGTTTCGTTCCAGGGACATCTCTGGATGAAGCAGAGCATCAAGAAAGACTCAAGAAAGCAGTACAGTCTGTATCGGCTATAGAGTGACCGGGTATAAGAATAATATCGGCTACAGTGATATTGGTACGAAATATCAAAAGCAAAACGTATTTTATCCAGTAAACGTATCACTATAACCAATATTTTCGGATGTAATGATATATCGGATATAATGATGGCAACAAAGAATCAAAACATGCATATCACACTATATTATCATCGGCTATAGTGATAACTTTAAAATGCAGGTAGCAATAATATCAAAGGTCCTATTTTTTTTTACTTTCTTCACGTTGCTTATTTTTAGAATGCTACATGTAAATAACAGATTTTTTTGATGGAAATGCGGGCACTGTCAACTCTGCTGCAGTATGCAGCATGCTCATTTGTCAAAACGCCATTCTGGAAGTATTTCCTTGCCTTTCAAAATTCATGTGTCGATCGAAAAAAGAAAAAAAATCGATCGTATCGCATATAGTGATGCATCGGTTATAGTGATAAAATCACGGAAATCAAAAGGGTAGGCTATAGCCGATACAGACTGCATAATGAAACTATTTCCTGAAGAGATGTGTGCTAAAAACTCCCGCAAAATCGCAAAATTGTATATTTTTCAAGGCACCGTACGGCAAGATTTAGACCAATTACTCCCCCCCCCCCCCCGAATGTTTTTTTACTCAGTACACATATAGGGAGGTGTAGAAAAAGTAAAACTGGCCAATCTTTGGACCAATTTTTTCCCTATTGAGGTACCTTTATTAAGACAAAAGGCCTGCTAAAGAGATCAGTGGTGAAGTGTTACTCACGAATACACGGCCGTTGTAGCAGTGACCATGTGCCATCGGGCTGACAAGATGTTGTCTGTGGCACATTGCTATCCATGCTATAACCTATGTTGCACTTGACATTCCATTTGGAATACCATTTTGTAGAGCTCCCTGAGAGCACTCCAAATGGAGGGTTTTGCGGTGGCTGGCAAAACGTGGCTGCAAAGAGCATGGGGGACAGACAGGGACAGTTTCAAACAGGCATTTCAACACTCATCTCTGTCTCTCTGTCTGTAGGTCTGTCTTTAGCTATCTCTCTGTCTCTCTCTGTCTCTCTCTTTCTTTCTCTCTGTCTGTAGGTATGTCCGGCCGGCCGTCCGGCCGTTCGTCTTTAGAGAGGTTCCGGGGTACGATTTTCCGTGGCAATATCCGTATGGGAGCTACGGATTTTTTCCAGGCGTGCTCCATACAGTTTTTCGGCATGGAGAATCCGTGTGGACTGGCTTTCATGCGAACCATGTTTCGTATGGATATTTTGCATCATCGGGTGCAGAAAGATTTTCCGTGTGCGAATTTGTTACGATAAACATTGATTTTCCGCGGGAAGTTTTGATTTCGGTACAGATTTTCAAAATAAAAAGCCATAGCGCAGGAATGTGACGTGTTTGCGATCGTAACCTAGGCAATGGCGGCAAATACATAAATTCCGTACTCCGGAACATTTCACTGCTCGAAAACGACGTATAGAAAACCCGTAGCGCCTCTACGGATTCTGGCGCGAAAAATCGTACTCCGGAACCTCTCTATTGCCGATTTCTTAGCCGACGACGAAAAGCGAATCCTCAAGCTCCAACACAAGGCATCGCTCCAGACGTTAGCATGACAGATACTGCAGCGTGGTCACCTCTACTGAGTCTGACAAGAAATATGCACTGACAACCCATGTCACTCCAAACAACAAGAATTTCCTTCCCTGAACGACTCGGATTTCCCTAGCAGCAAAGCTCTGCAGAAGTGCAAAACATATAGACCAAATCTTGATTTGTGTGATCGAAGTACGATATTTTTACATCCTGAAACTGGTCGTGCGCCGACCACCGCGTGAGTTGGCAGATCAACGGATTGTGGCAATGTTGCAATGTGGTCAATTGAAACTATTCGAATTTGTTTATTTTCGGAAAAAGTTTATTTTCGGAAATCGTGGAACTCTTTTACGAGACACATCCTGGGTGGTTGTGGAGATTCTCAACTGTTCTGCAGTGCAAAGTAAAAACATTGACACCGTAAATGGTTCCCGCTATGGCCCTTGAAATTTGACTATTTTAGCGTCGCAGCTTAATATTTGAGGACGATAACCATTGCTTTCTTGGATGTTGCAATGGCTTTATGTGGTGGTGATGTAAAAGACTGCTCAGGTGAGGGTATTTTGGCATGGTGGTTGTTTGTTCTTATTTCCATTGTGCACGCTGTACGAGCATTCATTTTTGGACCCAAAATTCCGTGGCATTTTGGGCCCATTTGGAAGTGGTCCCCAGTTCCAAGATGTTAGTACATTGTGCAATGAGACCCATGGCATGGTTGTGATAGACCCAGGATACCTACGTGTATCTGCACAATTTGAGCGAAATCAGAGAGATGGCCCAGCCTAGCTTTTCAGGTTTTCTCAGACATTATGCTCTCTTAAACCTACCGTCATACAATTTTAGCAATGGTCTCTAGCTATCTTCGCCATCATGTCTGCAGCAGACACAGCAATTGCTACCCGGCACAGATCAAGGCTCCGTTTTGTTCCGTCCAACACTCACTTTCTCATTCTATCCCAGTGGCAAGGGTAACTAAGGTTATTAGCTGAGCTACTCGACACGACTATGATGCCAAGCTCAAGATGGTGTGCAGTTAAATCATGCTTGAAACCTACAGAATCCAAGACCCCAATGACCACTCTCGCCTGGATAGTTTGGCTGAGGCATTTTAAGGCGCTCTAAACTCCGACCAAATGATCCAGTTTCTCAGTTCAAATTTTAATAGCAAACCACGATCTAGTTTCTTTTTAGTCATTAAATTTGCGAAGTGAAATATGTTTGACCGTGTATGCGATCTAATTTTGTCGGAGGAATGTTTAGTCGCCACTAGTTAACATTATGTTTTATGGAAAATGTCTCACTCCGAATTGTTCATTTCTGCAAGAAAGGCTAAAGCCAGCAGGATATATGTGAAATGTGTAGTTACTTACGCGCACGTCGTCTGGGTTGAGCGAGAGAAATGTTAACTGTCCTGAGAAAAAGAATGACATACGTCAACCAGAGCCGTGAACACACTCCGAAGTGCCCAGCCATGCTCAACAGGCGATGTGAAGCAAATTTCGTCCGGCGCTGGGTAGAAAACACGCGAAAAGCCACAAAGAAAGTGAGATATTGAAGGAAAATGGAACGAGAAGAACCTGTGTGGTGACTTTCGGGCACAGCTCCTAGTCTACAGAGCACCTGGCACAGCTCCTAGTCTACAGAGCAACTAGCACAGCTCCTAGTCTACAGAGCACCTGGCACAGCTCCCCTAGTCTACAGAGCACTGGGCACAGCTCCTAGCCTACAGAGCACCGGGCCCAGCTCCTAGTCTACAAAGCACTGGGTACAGCTCGCGGTCACTTGGGTCTATTATTATTATTATTATTATTATTATTATTATTAGTGGTCGGAGGCGGATAATACTTTAAAACGAAGGTAAGTTATGGGTCGCAAATATCCACGCAAACACACATCCAGTCATAATAAGGCACTTGTCATAAGTATCCGAACGTTTTCAGTCCCTTCTCATCAAGGATTATACAGGGAATGGCTCACGCTGGAAAGACTAAAACTTTTTCGTCCTTTATCTTTACTTATAATATCGGTTCACCACTCAACTATGTTATGAATGGACTCAGAGGGAGAATCAAGGATTAACTTATGGAAAATAAAAAGGACCAAGGAACTAAAAGTTACGTTGTAAGTCAGTGTCATGCAATGCGTGTTATCGCATGTGCTGATTGTTTAGTAACCGGTGGTGTTAGTGGACATTATAGCATGACTTGTAGTTCCTTAGCCCTTTTTCTTTTCTAAAAAAATTAATCCTTGGTTCACCTTCCGTCTATGTTATGGTTAGTATGTTTTGGCTCCTAATGATCAAATGAATACAACCCAGTTATTTGTTGTTCACACTCCAGGGTAGCGTTTCTCATTACTTATTGTTTTATAGTTCCTACACTGTCCAACTTTTTACTTGTACTATTAGCCTTATTTGGCAGTTGTACAACATCCATTTTCTAGAATATTTCAAATGAAGTGTGAATGAATTAATGAATGAAAATCAAAGCAAAAGAATTATGATGTTGATGGGGGTGAGTTCGAAGGGCGACTGCCTGTCGCAAGGGTCTGAACATTCATTTAGATTGTGCTGTGGCATTACCATTTCTTCACTACTGAATGTAACACGGAAGGTAGTGGCGAACTGTAGTCATACATAGTTATATCCTGTTCCGTTTGTCCACTAGGCTTCTCCGTAGGATTTACATTCCTGTTCACTCACAACAAGTATCACATCCATCCAGATTCTCAGTCCTTACGATGCCAACGATTTCCAAACCAGAGCTGTACAAGTTTTCAAATAATACTTTTTGATAAGAAACCTTTTTGCAATACAATATTTTGTATTGCAAAAGGGTTTCTTGTCATGCTTCCAACTATGTTGGTGATCAGCTGTTGAGCTATTATTTTTATGTGATTTTTAGCAGATGAGCTGTTAGCCTTCATATTGGGCGTTGCCACAGGTCTCGCAAAATGATCAAGGTACTGACACGAGAAAGAAGAAGAGGAAGAAGACGAGGAAAGTAAAATATTTTAAAGAAGAGAGCACGAAAGACAAGCCTGAAGAAAGTCGATATGCATGTGCTGTCCCCCACTGCACCCCACAGGGTCGGTTCGGTTCTGAAAGGAGTGGGGAAGGTTGTGTAGGAAGTCAACAACATCACCTAGAGCCTAGACTATTTTGAACATCGTGCTGAAAAGCACACAAATCCCATCCATTATGCATACATTACAACGCAGAGTCTATCGTAGAATCCTCACCTGAAATGGTTCTGAGCGAATCTTGAAACCAACGCACGAATACACTGCTCTCCGCTGATTTCAGCCGCAACAGGTGCAAGCCAGCATCCGTCGCCCCTGAACAATGATGATTCCAAGCTCTGCCTAATTAATGGGTCGCTGGGGAGCCGCTGCTTCTCATTCTGTGCCACTTACGAACTTGATCAAACATTCATCTTCCAGCCTTTCTCCTGGAGCATCCAAGCAAATTGATCGCCTATACGTGCGATTATCGGGTTCTTCAGTAGTACGAGTACAATACCGGTATTGTACTCGTACTACTCCCTGGTTCAGATTGTCCTCTTCCACTGCGTGGGAACCCTCCGAGAGGGGGTGCATGTCGCACTTGACGTATACCAGAGTATGTCAGCCTTGCTATGGGCCATGCATGGGGTTTTGTGTGAGTAGCGCGCCGTACAAATACCTACGCTTCCCTAATCGTACTTGCAAGTTTGCTTTGTAGCTTATACGGCAAATGCATACAGAAGATATATCGCCATGCTGTTGAACTACACCTCTAGACAGTACTCGTAAACTTCCGTAAGTTGTAGCAAGAGTACATAACCCCTAGGTTATGTACTCTTGGTTGTAGGCTTTCGAGGGGTACAGTGTGTATCCGGATCCGGAATGCTCTCTGATCGCCAAATGTAGTATATGCTCTATCAATTGATGTTGCTGTTTTTGTTTTTTGTTTTTTTGGTTTCCCGTTCTCGGGGCCTTCTATTCGGTACTCTTTGCAGTTGTACTTCTGTACTGTTAATAATAATAATAATAATAATATCTTTATTAGGATGAGCTATCCGAATTAAAATAAACATTCAGGTTTTTACCGTACCGTTTCTATGGTTGTAGCCAATGAGCGACGTTCCCGCGGTGGCCTTGATGAGCCGATAAAGCCCGTTGTCAATGGATACGGAAAAATACGGTAGCAATAAAGCCCGTCGTCAATGGCACCCCGTACTCTGTCAGTCTAGCTCTGCAGGGGTCTGTGGCAGTTTTTCGTTGTCAGCTCAGTTCGCATCTCACATTCGACTGTGAACATGCTGTGGTACCTGGAAACAGCCTGTCCAAAAACGGCAACATGAAAAGTGTCTACACATCGTGGTCAGTTTTCAACTCAAGTTCTTGTTGTCGTGAGTGGAGAGGAAATTTTACGATAGTTGTGAATAAGCGAAAGAGCATGCACCTATCTATCTGCTTAGAAGCAAGCTGAAATAAGTGGCACACATCGCGATCAGTTTTCCACTTTCTGTTCTACATGTACTAAAAAAAGGAGTTGACGAACTTTTCTGATAATTTTGGGTCATCCCATCCATGAGAAGCGGACGGAGCTGAAACTCACAAGCTGAAGGAGCTGAAACTCACAAGCTGAAGGAGCTGAAACTCACAAGCTGAATCCACCACGTCCCCGACCACCACCCCTATACGTGTCTTGCTTTTATACCAGAAAGGCGAAAGACGAAACCTGAAACACCATCATAGAGGTCTGGCAGGACTTTTCGCCTTCATCAAGGCCTCGTGCGTACGGCCGCGGGCGCAGGCCTCGGCGCTACGCGCCTTGGCCTGCGCCCTTGGCCGTACGCACTCGGCCTTGATTCAGCCGTAAAGTCCTGCCAGACCTCTATGATTGTCTACTTAAAAAATATCAAGAGTACATAAGGGCCTGGTCAGACTGCGGCAAATTCTGGTTGCCTGACGAAAAAAGAACAGCGTCCAGAATTTGAATCGCGATCACACTACACATGTGGGGAGAGTGAAAATTCAAACTTCATTTCGAGCGTCAAGTGGTAATCTCCACGAACGACGTCAAATTCCTTCACCTTGGGGATCGCCAACACCTTTAGTGCAATCCTTGCAACGATCCTTATGAGTTTTGTTGTTGTCCCAGCTCCTCGATATCGAGATGAAAAAAATCAGTGATTATCAGCGTCAATGGCGTATCAGCGTCAAATCCTGTTTGGAGCGGAAAAGCGTCGTCCGTTCTTGCTTTTTTTGGGAGCGTCAACTCTCGCTTTTGCCGCTCTGGCGGCAAGTTACTATGGAGATTCGGATTATAATCCTAGGATTATTTCGATTTTGCCGCAGTCTGCCCAGGCCCTTACCCCGGGGCCCGGGGGTTATGTACTCTTGGCTCTATCCTTGCTAACTGCTTGTTTATCCTTCCTTCTTCTCTTTTTCTTTATTACATTTCTTTTCTTTTTGTGGCGTGGTTGGCTATCACCCCTCTCTCGAACTTTTGTGTGCCATTAGCTTGGTCATGTACTACAAGTTGAATGGAATAAATAAAATGGATGAATAAATAACAGGTAAAGTTGAACTCGGATGATGAGCCAATTTAGTCTTGACAAAAAAGGAGTAGAACAAAATGTTACGAGTTATGACAAACGGTTCATCAATGTATCAGCAATCCTTGTCAGTTTGTGCCATTTTGTCGCACTCCCGGACTGTAAAATTTAATAAGATCTGGTTGCGTTGATGGACAGCTAGTTTGTCATAACTCGTAACATGTTGTCCTTCTCCCTTTTTAATCATACTTCCTCCGTTAACAAAAACTTCGTGATGGATTTTGATGGATATGAAAACGCTTAGAACAGATCAAGAACAGTTTGTATCGACTGCAAATCACTGGACGAAGGTGATTCAGCCTATGTACAGCGTCTTTACAAGAGAAACTGTTGGCGGAATGAGCAGATAGTTCAGTTTGCGTCGCTTTCGCTCGATTCATTTTTGACATGCGTCGCTGTCGTCATCTGCTGCACGCGAGTCATCATCTGCTGTACGCGAGTCGTCATCTCTCTTGAGTCGTTGTTCAGCTCGTTTCAGCCTTGCCTCGGCTTCTTTGATCACACTCCGCTGACCTTGATGTCGCCGTCGTTCAAGTAAGTTGGCTTTCAAGCTGCGTGATTCGCCGCAATGGCGATTACTCGTTTCCACCAGGGAGTCGTGAAAAATATTTTACGACTCCTTGGTTTCATCTTCGCTGTCCGAACTCCGCGAAACGAGGAGTAAAGGCACAGCCAAACTGATTCCATTTTCTCTAATGGATTCCCCTGCCAGCACAGAACGGCAGCGGCTAGCAAGTCCAGTCGACTTTCTTTAGCCACGAGACTCGCATCGGACAGCGGACTTCTGAAAGAATGCATGGTCATGAGCATTCGAATCTGGACTTTGCGCAGGTTGAACAAGATCTTGAGTTCAGAATTGTTTTCATTGAGCTGTACGATCGGAGCACCTCCTTGTTCACTCGCTCATTGTGTGGGCTCGCTGCTCCGTTTCATCGCTCTCTATCACTCTCCAACTTACTCAGTGCTAAAGTGACAGAGAGGCCAAGCAACGCAATATCCCCTCGGAGAAGTGGTATTTCAGCTTCGCTCGCCATGACTGTCATCACCTATGTTTCCACAGCGCAACCATTGAGACCGCTCGGCTTGTTGTGAAAGGTCGCTTTCCTTGCATCGTACCTCTGTCATGGCATGCCAGGGAAGGCCAAGAAAGTGATTGCGACTCATTTCACGGCAGTTTGTGCCCAAATCAGCCCCTCAAAATTCCATCACGAAGTTTTTGTTAACGGAGCTCCGGAGGAAGTACATATTTCAACAGGTACGAACATTTAATATAAGGGAAGACCAGCCAACGCGCACTCGTATATACCGTACTGGAAGTTGCCACCATATTTAGAACTGATGCATCGCGTTTATGATCTTGCTCGAGTCAGGAGTACTCGTACTCGAGTGTAAACTTTATAGGGATGTGTACGTTGAAGTCTGTGTACAAGTGTGATTATTGTCAGTGCGCGTGCGCGAGGTAGAGACTGCATTTGTGGATATAGGCTCGGCGAAAGAAGTCTGCTCAAAATTCAGCTCGAAGGATTTATTTATTTTATTTATTTTGGAAGCTGAGGCCCAACATCGCGAAGACCGAAGCAATGTTCATCAGCCCATCGCCGCCCACTCAGCCGTTGCACTTTTCAGGAGCCAATGCTAACGTTAAAATTGTTCATGAACACATACTCGACAGCCACATGTCCTGGTGTAGGCCGCAGCGCGGGTATTGCTAGCATTGTAACTGGCATTACGAGCATCGTTTTGAGAACAAGCAATGCTCCAGCATTGTTCCCGGATTTGGAGCCAAAACAAGCGCCCGAAAGTGTCATTTTCTCACTTCATGAGTGTGCATTACTGAATAAAACAGGAGCTCTACAATGTAACGTACACACTGTACTTTGTACCAGCGGCTTTTGGCAGTTTAGCTTAAACGTTAGCCTGCGGCATCGCAACATGCGACTCTTAAGTCTTAGCTCTTGTTGCGAATCTTAGAGGCAGCTGCTAGGTATAGACCTACCACGTTGATGCCATCATGGGAAACGGCACGAAACCTTGTCTTTGCTATTCACAGAGTCATGCAGTGCTGGCTCGCTTGCACCATGAGTACATCAAATGGAAATGTGTTGGAAATCTCTGATTCTTCGGAGGAAGAGAATGGGGAAGATGAGTACGAGACAGAGGAGGATAATAAGGAAGACGAGAACGGGGCAGAGGTGGAGGATGACCCCGGTGAGGCATGCGCACGACTGCCCAAAGCCAAAGGAGCAAGCGTATCGAGGGTTAGTAACATTCCTACTATTGTGACAGTGTGTTCACTGGGTGCCGGTATCATGCCCCATTGTGTTGCTAATGGATTGCTGCAATGAATCACCAAGTCTTGGTGTTTGGACTGATTACCTATACTCATGCACTAGTTGCCCACTGTGCTGATTGACTCATTGCACGAAGTGATACGTTGACTTATATTGTACTTTTTCATACCACACAATAATACTGTAACAGGTAGCCGAGTGGGAGGCGCGGTGCAATTAAAGGGGAACTGTCACCAAAAAATTTCTTTTTCTTATCTTGTAGGTCTTTGGCTCCTGATCACGATGGTGTTATCCGTTTTTCTCTGCGATGGCTTGAAGTGGGTGAAAACTTGAAAAGAAGGTGTCCAAAATTGTCCCGAAGTACCGAGTGACGTCACGCCGGACTTGACCTCCACGCGTACATTCGTCGTCAAAAACGAAGTCCAGCCCGTGTGCTCGTCGATCGAGCTAGCTGTTCCAATGTACGGTGCACGTGTGCCTTTTGAACTGTAACACAGATAGATGGGTACGTCGT